TGCTTCTATCAAGGTTCTCTAAGATAGTTGAAACATTTCATGTAGACCTTCTGCCACATGAATCTAGAACCATCCTGTGTGTTGATAGCATTAAAACTAAATGTATTAGTTATTCTTATCAGTACATGTACAGAGGATACAGGAAATAATCAATATTATTAAATTTCCTTTTTTTTTTTAAACAATTTATATTTCCTACAACTCCAAAGAGAACCCGTTCTCCCCCAGGCTGCCCTCCCCATCTCTTTCATGTGAGTCTGTCTCGCACCCCCATCCTCCCCCTGAAACACGGTAATCCATAGTCTTTTTAATTACAATCACAAATCTCAAGTTATTGAGGACAGCTCGTGCATGTTGTCACCTGTCTCACTGAAGCAATTGTATAGGTGGCCTTGAACAATCTTGCTGAGATTCATTGAACAGAAAGAAAATCACTTGCCAACTTGGCCGAAAGGGAAATCTTTCTCTGGAATCTTCCTCTGCTGTAGCTGATTCTCATTTTTTGGGCAGCCTTAGCTGCTTTGATTTTTGTGTGCATATGAGTGACATATGTTATGGATTATTCATTTGTTCAGTGTAGGATTTTAATTTGAAACAGTTTTTCAACATGATAAGCAAAGAAAAAAGTATTTGAAATGAGAAAAATCGGGTGAACTTTTGGGGAATGAAGTCTTTTTATGCCTTTTTTTTAAGTGAAAATCAAGATCAAGTTATAAATCCTTCAAAAAATAGGGATTTATGATTGAAATTTCAGCAGATTGCTTGCCAAAAACAGTGTGAATAGCTGGGTTTACCTCAGTTGTGCATTTTTGATTGTGTGCTTTAACTAAACAGTAGGTGAGGGGGTGGGGGGCTACCATATAGAGTTCTAACCCTGAAATACTAAGTTATTTATCTTTGGGAGGCTAGGATTAGGGGACTGGGCAGCTTTTGAAAAATTCAGAAATAATTCTTTCTAAAACCTTCTTGACACAGAATAAATTTGAACTAATGTGCTGGAGTTTGTTTTTGTTTTTGTTTTTAACATTAATTTACAGATAGCAAAATCACCCAGTGGGAAGACCCAAGACTGCAGAACCCAGCTATTACTGGTCCGGTTAGTATTCTCACATCCTGACTCTTCAATATAATATTACGGCTGCGTCTAAACACACATTTCTTGTGTAGTACTGCCTACCTCGGGGCCAAAAGCTTGGTGTTGTGAATTGAGTAGTTTAACATTGCCCCCACCTTCTCCCTGGAATTCCCAGGTGAGGAACCCCTCAGTTGCCTTTTCACAGGGCTTTCATTATAAAGGAAAAGAAAACAATTTGCTAATGGTAACAAAACTAAACAATTTTTCCTCCATTATAAAAAGGTGGATTAAATGTATCACAATCAAAATACCCTCTCTTCCTTTTTATGTGAAGCAAAGTTAAGCCAAGAGTAGTAAATGCATACCAACAAATTTTAGCTGTGTTCTGAATCTCTTCCAGCTCTAAAAGTCTGTAAAAGTTTGCGTGAGGTTGGAGCTAACCTCTGGAGCTGGCCAAGTTAACAATCTTTGTATCTGCTGACCCACTAACTTTGTCATAGTCTCCTCTTACATGCCAGGTCTGCCTTAGGTGGAGTGTCACACACTGTGTTCCTAAGGAAGAGTGAGAACCACCACCCCCCGTCACTCAGCAGTTAACAGATACTTGCTGTCAGACACCTGCGAGGAGTCTGTGAAACAGGGCCCCCCCTCATCAGCAGTCACACAGACTGTAGCCAGGTTCTGCGTCTGTGTGAGGGTTAAAGACCAAGCACCACGTCTGGGTCAAGTGCCCACTTCTCTGATTTTGAGTCTTTCTGCTCGTTTGATTTCTCTTTTGTCCCAGTTTAAAAAATATCTACGTATTAGGGGAGAGGGTCCCCTTCTGTGTTCTGTGGCAACTCAGCTCTACATTTCTGGAAGCCAGTGTGTTAGCTGTATAACAAGCATCACCATCAGAAGCTGTATAACAAACATCACCATCACCATGATAAAGTGCTGGCCATGCTGGCTGCTCTTGTGAATATTATCTCATGCTGTGTCAGGCTTTGTACTTTTCTGAGAACCTCACCATCAGCTGCTTTGAAACTCTGGCAATCCCATCAGGAAGGTAGGAAAGATGTCATTATTCCCAGTATTTCAGAAGCTCAGAAAGCTAATTTTGTTGCCAGAAGTTCCAGCAAATGTCAGGATCAGGACTGGAGCCCCATGTGTGGGGGCCTGATCAGCATCTCCGTGTCAGGCACGAGCCCTTCTCTCCAGGTTCTCTGGTATCAACTGGACGGTAATGGCATGAAAACATTTAGAACAAACTTAGCCAATAAGTCATTTTGTTCTAAGAAAGCATAATTAATACAGAGCAAGAGGGCTCTAATCACAGACATGTTTTAATAGGCTTGTTTTATAGTTAAGTTGTATGTAAGAAAGAAGACACCAGGTTTTCAAGAGAGAATAAATAATTTGGCCTGTCCAATACAAGAAGTACACTATACTTGTAATTCTCTTCCGAGGCTGCTCTCTGTGGATGTCTTTGTCCTGGTACATTGTTAGAATTTTTTCAGGAGAACACAAAAGCCTGCTCTTTTAGTATATAAGAACTACCTCCACAGGGAGAAAAGATAAGAATTGGAGGAGGGTAATGATTTTTTCAATTTCCATGCATCATTCCCCAGAAGAAGAAAGACCAGAAATAACTCAGCATCCTATTTCCACCCACATCTTGTCAGCACCTATCAGGTTAGAAGTCAGACACAGGAGTAGTTATTATGGGCTGGGAGTAACATTTTGAAATACATTCCTTGGGAGATTTATCATTTGAGATTATTGAGCTCGCATTCACAATGATGAATGTGGAAGCCTTTTTGCAACAAAAACAAAAAATAATTGTTGGAAATTACAGATTTTTGGAAATGGAAGCGCCTCCAAGTTTGTCTAATCAAATCATTCCACTTAGTTCTGAAGCAGTTCACAGTAGGGAGGTCATGTCACAGAGCTGGCCGTAGAGCTGGCCCTAGAAGTCAGGACTTCTAGAAGCTGGAATGAGATAATGAAAGGAAATAACTTTCTCAGCTGAGTGTCCCTCCGTCGCAGTTAATCATAGCTAAGGACATCAGTCAGGCATTGCCTTTTGAGACTTGGCCCTCGCTGTTCCTCTTGTGGTCTGTTCCCTCCTGTGGCTCTGGTCTCTGCACAGATTTCCCTTTCTCAGAGTTGCCTGCCCTGACCATTCCTAAACGAACCTCTCAGGAACTCTCATCATTTTTTTCTCATAGTGTTTACTGTTATTTATTCATTTATTTCTTATTGCCTGTTGCTCGCAATAGCTTGTTAGGTCCTCCTAAGCAGGAAAAGAAATCTTTGGCTGAGATACCATTATTTCCCTAGCACCTAAAATGCCTGGCATAGCGTAGGTTCTCAAGAAATAGCTGTTGAGTGAATCAGCAAATGAGCCCCTAAAGAATGAATAAATAAAGTAGATAGAAAAATCTTTGTTATGGGACATAGTAGAGCAAAAAGCATGCTAACGTCTTCATTGGCTTATGTCAGAACATTGTATCCTTTTCCTTATTTTGGTGGTTGCCAAGATACAAAATTCCTAACTTCTACAAACCTGAATCCATATATGATTTCATCAGACTAAACACAGCCCAACAGAAGTCTGATAGGTGGGCAGAAGTAGTGTCCAGTGGAAGGCCAAATGAAGATTGGCTTAACTCGGAACAGACATGGGCAGTATGAATTGTCTTTAGAATGTGTTAAGATATAGGAATATGATGTCTTTCTTGCTCTCGAATTACAAAGCAAGACACTGACTCAATTACTGTTTTCCATAAGAGAAGTTCTTGTTTTGACTTAGTTATTGCTTGTGTGATTGTGTCTCAAAACTGTATGAATGAGGGAGGCTTTTTTACCTCATTTCCCCCTTTCTGCTTAGGAAGAAACATGGTGAATATGTAAGGTTCAGTCTGGAGACACTTAACTAAGCATCAGTATATTTTATTAACTTAGGCCACGTTGATATCAGTAGAACTGTTCTTGCCTAAATTCAAACTAAAAAGCAGTGTGTTATTCGGAGTATGATGCTGTCACAGTTATGTCTGTGTCTGTGTATGTACAAAGCCAGTCCTTTTTCTTCCCTAGAAAAAATTACAAGCCTTTCAAGAGCCTCAAGTCAGGACTGTGGCTCTGGGGTATTGTAAGCTACTTTACAACATAGCAAGTAAAGAATATTTATAACTAAAATGGTATTACTTTGTCTAAAGCGATTCCAGAACTTTTGAATACTGATAGTTCAGTAGCGAGCCTCCACCTGTGGCACCACCACTCTGTGTCATCCCAGATTTAAAGAAATCCTTGCCCGAGACCACTGAATGGTGAGGGGCGACCCTCTGACTCCTGAATTGAGGACCTTTCCAGAATGCCAGCTACCTGATTTTATATTCCTTGACAAGAGCCATCAGTTCACTTGCCTTACTGCTCATTACCTTTCCTCCCCAAGATTTTTAAAGTATGATTAGTCTTTTCACAATGACAGTACAGGTCACTTTGGATTGTGTGTTAAAATATCATAGCAATAATTCTTAACTGGAGCTAAGGGGGAAAAAAAAAAGATTACACCATGACTCATGTTTAGACAGAAGCCATGTGGAAAGGGTATTTAATTTATCAGGTCCCTAAATGATTTTTTGACTGTCAGTACAGGTATTTCCAGCAGTAAACCCCCCCCATTCAATGCTGATTAATCATTTCTAGACCTTTACTATCTGTTATGTAGACATTGTGTAAATTTTAATGATAATGCGGACTGAGAATTTTAAGGCTTATGAGTCATGAAATTCCCTGAATGTTGGCTTATTATACATAAAATTTCAAGTGTACTGTTTGCATCATCTTTATCTATAAATTTATCTTCTAGGCGGTTCCTTACTCCAGGGAATTTAAGCAGAAATACGACTACTTCAGGAAGAAATTGAAGAAACCTGTGAGTAACATGTCTTCCAAAAATGCTGTTTTAATTATTTGTAAGTTGCCAAAGTTACTTCAGTGAGAACCACATATTTACTTTAATATGTATACTAAAAATATTACCTCCCTTTTTTCATTGCACTTTGATCCACCTGGATCCTCAATCTGAATTTTCTTCTTGACAAAAATAGTAAGTGAAGATTTGCTTAGTATCACATAATCCCCTGTGTAATACATGAAAAGATAGCAGTGATTTTTATGGCATTTAAGATCATTCAGGGCCTAATCAAGAATTCTGGAGAAGCCTGTGCAATGGCTTGTGGTTATCATATCTAATTAAATGGTTTATCATATTTAATAAAACCTGGATCCTAATTAGAAAAAGTTTAAGTCCTTCCCTTTAAATTCAAAAGTTTAGTTTTAATTACAATATTTATGACATACATGTAATTTATTTATACTATTTGGCATATTAAGACCAAGTGTATTACCAAACTGAGAAGCCCTGTAATGTTTTTACAGGCTGTGTTTTCAGTTACAGTGTTGTATTTTCTACTGACTCATCTTCCCAACTTCTTCCACATTATGTCTTCTGTTTTACTTTGATGTCACTTGTTGAATGACAGTGTTACCAGCTTTGTCCTCAGGTGCTTGTGTCCCGTCGCCACCACCCTCCGTTGATGCCTCATTTTCTGGGCATCTGAGGCATGGGGTGCAAAGATGCATGACACACAGTCTGTGCCTAGGGGAGCTCCCCTTTGTGCTAGGGGTCTGTTCTCTCTTCCAACATCCTGATTCAGGGAGCTTTTGGATGACTACTTTATAAATGACTCCAGTTTGAACACATAAAATTCCACAGTTTCTTTGTGAGTCCCCTGCATTTCCCCCAGCAACAGGTGATGACTTTGTGGACATTATCCTGTCTCACTCTGTAGCACTTTCACTGTTGCATCTTCTGCCTGGAAACAGATTCTGCAAATCCATTTTCATGGCAGGGTTGACCCTGGCCCTCATTTTTCCTGGAAGCAGTTACTCACAACTTCAGCCAAGTGCTTTTTTTTACTAGGCTCCCCCCTTCACCAAGTCCCCCCCACAAACCCCATTACAGTCACTGTCCATCAGCCTAGTAAGATGCTGCAGAATCCCTACTTGTCTTCTCTATGATGCACAGCCCTCCCCATGCCCCCCACACACATTACACATGCTAATCGTAATGCCCCCTTTCTTTTTCCCACCCTTATCCCTCCCTTCCCACCCATCCTCCTCAGTCCCTTTCCCTTTGGTAACTGTTAGTCCATTCTTCAGCCAAGTGCTTTTTATTTTCATGTATATTAACTGTGGCCTTTGGGATGCTGTCCCACAACTCGGCTTGATAATCAGGGTCCTGTTCTCCATGGCAACATGCTTGTAGGCATCCCAGATCACATCTACCAGCTGGAGTCCCTACCGGATTTGAGAATGCTCCCAGCCTAGCTAGGTGGGGATTATTTACGGGTTTTAGTTACCTGAACTAAAGTCCCTTTTTTTTAGCAGAAACAATATATATAGTGGACTGTATTTCAGTTGCCAGTGGGTGGATAAATGCCCCACAGTTCTTTATAAAAGAGGGAGTAGATGATGTGTCCTACTCAGCGCAGTGGCTTCTGCAGCAGATGGTGCTGGCTCAGTCTGCCAGCTGCTGGCGGATGCCCTGGGTGTCTCATCCTGACAGAGTGAGGCTTTCTGCTTGCATGAGGAAAAATCCACAAAGGAAAGAATCTCAGTTGGAACATTCATCACTGCTTATTTACTTGAAGGCTGCAGTCATTTCTAGTTGTCATTTTTTTTCTATTTGGAAGAAGGTGTATATTTAATTAATGATCATGTGCTTCTTTCTTTGTGTGTAGGCTGATATTCCAAATAGGTTTGAAATGAAACTTCATAGAAATAACATTTTTGAAGAGTCTTACCGGAGAATCATGTCTGTGAAAAGACCAGATGTCCTTAAAGCTAGACTCTGGATTGAATTTGAATCGGAGAAAGGTCTTGACTATGGGGGTGTGGCCAGAGAATGGTTCTTCTTACTGTCCAAGGAGATGTTTAACCCGTACTATGGTCTCTTCGAGTACTCTGCCACGTAAGTGTGAAATGCATTCACAACTGGTCCCCCACTGAAATGGTTTTATTCCTAATGTGCTTCAACTTAGTGAAAGAAGCATCTCCCTCATTGGAGATGAATTAACACTCCTGATTTCAGTCCCCCTCCCCTACACCCTGGCCCCCTATAAGTCTAGAGCAGGTTCTGACTCTGCATGGTGTGATAATGTACTCTATAAACACCTGAAATCTGTGAACACCTAAAAATGATTCTTCTCTTGTTTGGCAGATTCATGTAATAGAAATTGAAAATGTGCTGGGTACTTATCAGTAAGGAACGAGCCAGCGTTCACCTGTAATGTTATATTAATTTGGGAGAATTTGTTAGTGTCAGAATTCAGAAAATCGTCATAGTCTTAAGAATAAGAATAGTTCCTGAAGTTCCATGACATTAAAGGCGGATTCCGAGGACGCTGAGGACCCCTTCTTCAGGATCTGAAGGACCAAGCCCTGGGCCTGTAAGGGAAGATCCAGATTGCCCCTTGCATTAGGATTTCATCATTACCAAGCATGGAAACCAAGGCAGATTCCATTTTTTTTTCCCTTGGGAATCAAACACTGATGACTCACAAGGCCAGCCAGCCCTCCTGCAGGCTGTGCGGTCCCCAGAGGCTTAGGCTAGACTGGAGCCTCTGGTGGAGGAGGTGTTGGCCTTGCTGACAGGCAGCCCGTGCTCTGAGGGGGTGTCAGGTTCTCCCACACCATCCACCTGCTGCCAGCCTCCTGAGGCTGCTTTCGGAAGGCAGCCTCAGTGTCCCCTCAGGTGCTCTCACCAGAATTTCCCATTTTGTTAACTCTCCTTTTTACCAAATCCCATGAAAAAGCCTGCTATATAAAACCATTCGAGTGGAGAGCAGGGTAGGTGGGCAGGATCCTTACCTCCCACCTTCCCAAAGGTACCCCCCGGATGATTCTGTCAGTGGAGCCCAATTTGAAAACCACTGACCCTCAAGATGTTGAGACCAAAGAAAATTAGGTGCCTATAAACATTTGGAGTTTGCATTCTTGAGACAGCCATGTACTGCCTCCAGCGCCCTTGGGGCCTTGCAGGACAGCGCGCTGGTCAGATCAAGCATTGGGCCCATGGGAAAAAATTTAATCCCCAAACCTCAGAAGAATTAACCCTCTTCCTAATAGAGAATCCATGCACAGCCCCTCTGTTACATGGGGTTTCTCCTCTTCCCAAAACACTCGACCCAACTCTATAAAATTGACATTTCTGTAGATCAAAAATAGTGAAATATGAATAGTTTCTTACGGTTTTAGCTTGTACAGGGCACGTGCACCAGCTGTATTAGACCTCAGTTGTTGTGCGCACACGAGCTGATAACCAAAGAGGAAGTCACGGTCACTAGCTTCGGCCTTTTCCCACTCGGTACTAGGCGTCTGCAAGTGCACTGTGAAAGTGTAATGACCGGTCACAATGGCAAAGTCAGACTGCATTTCTTACCTACAAGTATAATTGGACTTTTTCTCTCTCTTCCTCCCCAAAAGGGACAACTACACACTTCAGATCAATCCAAATTCAGGCCTCTGTAATGAAGATCACTTGTCCTATTTTACTTTTATTGGAAGAGTTGCTGGTCTGGCAGTGTTTCACGGGAAACTTCTGGATGGTAAGTTACTGAAATGTTGTGATGTCGTAAAAATAGGACAGGGCTGTTTATGATTTTTTGCCAGGTGCCTTATTTTTCACATCAAGGTTTTAGGCAAAAGCTTCACTGGTTTTCTGTAATTCAGTAAATTACTTTTATGTCTTGCCAGTAATGGAGGTGCTTTTCCCTGATGTCATCTTAACTTGAGCATTGAAGACATAGTGTCCACATGCAGTTTAAATTTTTTTTAAAAAGTGTGAAGCACAGAACATGTTGTATTTGTGCATTTTCTGTTTTGCAGAATAAATTTTCTTTAGCGATAGCTAGATTTGGTGACAGATGGAAAAGCTAATTGAAAAGTTAATTAAAATGATATCATCCACCCAATATCCTGCCATTGTTCTATTTGTCCTCAAATTATTGTTCTTTTGAGTGTGAAGAGACTAAATTTCAAAGCAATGTTACAGCTCATCTAAGACCTTGGCCCTATGATCACTGCCTAAACATATGGCACAAAATAGTCTCATTAGTAGCACATGTAAGTCATGGAAAAATGTCAAGTTATGTTAGAAGTAAAGTCAGACTCCCTCCCGGCTTAATCAGTAGGCTTATAATAGAGACTTCATATGGATTTGGTCATTTCAAAAGTAGTGCCGTTAAGAGACAAAAATCAGAGGAAAGAGAAACACAAATATTTTTGAAGAATTTGTGGCTGAAATGGTTGAGGATGGAATCAGAGAGTTGTATTTGAGGTTGACATTGCAGGTACTGTAGAGAGAGATTTCCAGAGGAATTATGTTAGTTGCATTTATGGAACCTAAGCTGTTCCAATAAATAATTGATGTATCCTCTCTGCTTTTTCCTTTGATTTATTTTTACTGGTAATTACTAGCTGGTTTAGATCTCTCATGTCAGAGTTTTATTTTTTGTGTGGGAAGTAAACTTTTGTTTACTAATTAGTAAACAGAACTAATTAGCAAAGTAACACTGATCAGAAGGAAATTACGCGTGCTCTTTTTATATACGTAGGTAGTGTGAATATATTTTAATTGCAGTATTGGAATCATGCCATAGATTATTTCAGCCTGTTTGAATTCATGTCAACCTTCTTAGAAGGTCAGTTTATTTACCTTCTGCTAAATATGAAGACATTCCTAGTTGCTTCAGGGAAATACAGAGAAGTAAAAGATAAAATCTTGACCTCAATGAATTTATATTCTAGTGGGAGGAAAAACAAGAAAGAGCACGCCTGGAGTGCTCGGGAGAAAAGGCCAGGGACCGCTTCGCCAGCCCTGGCTGCACCTGAAGGCAGGGAGAGTGGGAGCATTTAGGAGCTGGGGTCATTGCAGACGAGCAGAGACCAGCCAAGAGTCACGGCCCTGGGGAGGGCCATAGACCCCATAGAAACAAGTCGGGGGACAGAGGAGACGGGGGCAAGAGGGGATGACAGGGGAGGTCAGGAATTGCAAATCAAGAGCCAGAACACCCACCAGTGAGTGTGGCCAGCAGTGTCTTCAGTCCCTTAAAACCGTGAATGCCCCTGTAGGCAGTCAGCACGCTCCATAACCAGCCCGCCGCTCCCTTTCCATTGGCCCCATCCTCGTTCCCTCCCTAGACACAGAGGTAATGGAGCTGCTGCTGCCTTAGGACCTGTGGGGGTGGGAATGTGCTGCAGAGGCTGGTGACTCATTGGGGGTTCAGGGTGATGGGGGGAAGTGGCAGGCCTGAGGCTCCTCTGCCCAGTGTTAGGAGCCTGTGGTGCTGACCTGCCTTTGGACCAGGTGACTTGGGGACCCTGTGGGACACCTGTGTGGTGCCAGAGTCCTCATTGCCATCACCTCCCCCGGACCTTACCCAGCCGCACCTGGCAGATTGCACAGCCTTGGAAGCTGTCCCCCTCATTTCCTGTTTTCCCCCCTCCCATCACTGCCCAGGCAGTGATACTGAAATGCAGGCAGGATTTCCACCTGGCCTTTCAGTGACTCCCTGTTGCCGTTGGGCAGCAGCCCAGGCTCCAGCACCCCATGGGAGCTGCATGCCTCCAGGCCCTGGCCGGGCCTCTCCAGGCCCTCTGTGCTTCTCTGCCGGCGAGTCCCTAGTCTTGTCCCCCTGCTTGGAGCACCCCTTGCTATGCCGTTCATGGGCCCTGTTTGCCCTGCAAACTCCTGCTTGGCCTCAAAGCTCGTTTGTCACCTCCCAGAAACCTTCTTGACCCCTTTCAGCCTTACCATCTCTTAACAGTATAACTGCCCTCCCGACTAACCCCTGCGCCCGACCCCTCACCTGGCCACGGTCACAGATCGCTTGGTCACAGATCGCTAAAGAAGGTCTTCAGTTGTTCTGCCCTGCAGCTGGACTTGCACCAAACCTGAGACAGGTTAATCTTTTACTTCCGGCTCAGAGGCACAGCATTATTAGACTTGAAACTAACCCAGTTTTCCCCATATTTTAGGTTTCTTCATTAGACCATTTTACAAAATGATGTTGGGAAAGCAGATCACTCTGAACGACATGGAATCTGTGGTGAGTAAACACAGACTCCCCCATGGGCGTCGCCAGCCTTGCCAAAGGAGAGCAGCGACCGTGCTGTAGTCACAGCGGTTTTTACGGGCATCGTCCTTCAGTGTGAGCAGCAGAGAACATGTAATCGTTCAAGCGAGCTCCCTAATATTTCTGATGAGCAAATCGTCGTCCACACTTCTAGAGTCATGTGCTTGGGGTGGGCACGCGCGAACCTCGTTACCTCTGCTCACCCAGGACTGGTTTGACCAAGTTAAATCCAAGGTTATCTGGAGACCTTATTGTAGCCCCGTTCTCCATCAAAAAAAACTGCTCATAGCAAGTGTTTAGAGATTCACCTGCTCTCTGTGTTTTTCTGACCTCAAAAAAATGGCAGTGGCACAGGCCAAAACAGGAAATACAGTCCTCCTAGACGTGGCAGTGACGGCTGCCATGCAGGAGAGGATGGAAGCAAGTGAGGAGTGTCGGGGACGCTCCCTCAGCAGTCACAGGGGTTACACGTTCCACTTACCCTGCTCCTTTTATCTCAGTGACCATCTGAATTGAAAGGATTTGCTATAAAAACAAAAAGAGATGCTCGTCTCATAATGCACCTTTTGCTTCTGTTTCTCTTCTAAACACCCATACTCCTGCCACCCACCGCCGATCATGTGGCTGTCGCCCGACGCTCTTCTGTCCATCCAGGGTACTTGCACCTCTGCTTTCACACTCTGTCGCCTGAGTCAGAAAGCATCTGTGTGCCCTTGGCCTTGCTGTTGTGTTGCCTGTGTGTCCGGTGTAGTTGGATAGAAGAGCCATAGCCTCGTGACTTACCAGCTCTGATCCCTGTTTCTGCTCAACACCTCTGCATGAAAGGAGAGGAGGGTGCTAGCAGTGCACTGGAAGCCACTCAGCTGGTTTTTCCATGGGCAGTTCCTATCCATATCCACAGTTCCAGCTGCAAACTGCTTTCCAGCTTTCACCTTTAACTTAGGCTTTACGCTTTTATTACTGTATAATGACAATGCTAGGAGCACAGAAATTGCCCTCTGGTGTAAATTAATTTTGTACCACGTGTTGATAATTGGTGAGCACATTCTCAGAGCCTGTCAGGTCCTCAGCAGTCCAGCCCCTGACCTGCCCTGAAAGACAGGAGCCAAGGCCTTGTTGCTTATGTCTGGGCTCTGAGCAGCCATCCTGTTTGCTTCCAGTGACTTGGCAGAGAGCAGTTAAAGATCAAGAAGGGGCGTAACTTAAAACTCTTGGTATTTAATTAGAACATTCTCTATCCTTCCTGTTTTCCTCTGTATTTTCACTCTTAAAAGATGGGAAGCATATTGATTGATCTATACGTGTTCAGTGTTAGAATGTTATGTTCCCCTTCCAGAGCAGGCTGCTTCCCCTCCACAAAGGACAGCTTTCAACTACAAAGCCGTTAGTACTAAGCATTCCTTTTTGGTTTGTATTTTAAGTTAAAGGGGAAGAGTAGGTTTGGGGTGAAGCAGAAAACATTATCTTAGTGACAAATGTAATTCTTGAGCATCCTGAATGGCATTACATTAGAAAGATATATTAAAGAAGTCAGACAAGTTTGTATTTTGAAAAAAAAAAAACGCTTAATTTTAATTTCTGTGTCATTTCTGTAGGATAGTGAATATTACAACTCTTTGAAATGGATCCTAGAAAATGACCCTACTGAACTGGACCTTATGTTCTGTATCGATGAAGAAAACTTTGGACAGGTAAGTGTGTGCAAGCCCAGGAGCTCCTGTTCAACTTTCAGAGAGTCTTTGCTTCTTCACAGGCTGTAACGTGACTTTGCTAGACAATTAAGAACAACTGCCGGGAGCTTTGGGTGCTCATTACCTTATCGTTGTGTCAGGAGCGTTTTGTCACTCCTAGAAGCCAGGTCCCAATTACAACCTCTTCCAGCAGTTACAGAAACTCTTAAGGCCTCTGGGACATGAAATAGCACCCTTTAATCTAAAGCAGATCTGAATGTGAGTGGGCCTTTTAGAATTTAGGCACTTCAAAAAACAGAATGTTTACTTAGCAATGTAAATACATGAACAGAACCAGGTGATGTTTAGGGGGGTGGGCCTTGGGTTTTTCTTCTCTGCTGAATGATTCTGTTCATTCTGGTGAAATTTGTCTTCAAGCTCAGGTTTTTCCCACCATTCCTTCTTGCTTTGTACTCACACTGTCAGGCTGGATTAATCAGAGAGGTGAAGTTGAAAGATATAGTTGCCTGCTTGGGATTTTCATATTCTTCCTAAAGTTCTGTTGGATACGTTTGTCTTAAACCTGAAAACCTTGGATTCATCTGTCCCCAGTGATATGATGACTTTTGGGAGGTCTTCTCAAGGTGTCACCCAACCCTGGGACCAGTCCTCCACGAAAACCCAGAGAGAGTTCCCGTCTCCCAAACCAAACCTACTGGGCCTCCAAATCCAGGAGGTCTTGGAGGCTGTTTCAGGGGTTACCGTATGGAAAGTGATTTGTTCCTTATTGCTTCAGAGATCATTAAAAGTGTACTCCACTGTCAAAAACAACGTGTTTACCGTACCACTTCGTGATGCAGTGCTCAGTTTTATAGGTGAAGTTAGGAAATCAGGTCCCTGCCCTGTTGGGTTCACAGTCTTAGGGAAAAGAAGCTCCTGCCGCTAGATATAAAGGAATTGAGGACAAGTGGAGGCAGAAATTGTTGAGCAAGAAAATGATCATGCAGGTACCACAATTACTTGTTACATCTGCTTGAACCAAGGAACAGTCGTGTGTGTGTGTGTGTGTGTCCTGGGCGAGTGGACGAGGGAACTCTGTCCCTTTTTTCCCTGTTGCTTGGGTGAGGTTCATAGAACTTCAGGTACCAGAGATGAGAGCGACCTCATAACTTCACATAAATGATCAAGGAGTCCATTAAAAATCTCATCTTATTCCACCCTGCGCCCATTTTTGCTCCATATTTATGCCCAAAAATCTTCACAAAGGGACACAGCTCTCCTGTGTGGGAGTCTTCTCGTGGGGTTGCTGGTGGAAGGTCATTTCTGCAGCCCCATAGGAAGCTGTCCCCGCCAGGTTAGCGGTGGCCTCCCCAGGGCCGAGCGCACTGTGCGTCTGCAGCACTTGGCTCCTTCCTGGCTCCTCCATTTGAGACCCCTGCTCACTGTCCCCCGGAAGAGCCTGTGAGTCACAGTGCCTTGCCCTCTTCGTTCCTTCTTTCACGGCTCTTGTCACTTTATTTTCCATCTCCTAGAAGGACTGCGTCTCCTGCTGACCCTACAGGCACGTGTCCCTCAGCCCTTCATTCTCTGCCTGCTGCTTTTCTCATCCCGCCTTCACTGGTTGGGTGGCCTCATCCCCAGCTGTGACCTCTGTCTTCGTGCTGCTCACCACCAGCCTCTGCCCTCCTCCAGGCCCCAGCTCCCCCCTGGTTGGACGGCCTGCTGAGCTGCTTCTCCTGAAAGGCCCATCGTCCTGGGACCGAAGCTGTGTCCCCCGCCCGGCCCCTACATCGGCTCTGGTTCCCCCATACCCCGCAGCCTGAAACTGGGGAGCCATTCTAGACTCTTCCTTTTTTCTCTTCATGCCCAGTCCCCCAGGTCCAGCTGGTCACCACCCCACTGACTTGGCTTCCTCTTCACTTCCCCTGTCTGCACACATCCCTCATTCAGGTTCTGCTGGTTTCTTGGTTGTGTGGTAATAGCAGTGTCCCTGGCTCCTGTATTGCCCCTCATTCTAGCACTTTCTCCAATGCCCCTTCACGATGCGCCATTTGTAATAGTTCAGGAAAGCAAACCCAAATGTGCCAGTCATCTGCTTAAACAGCAACTCTTCACTGGCCATCCTGTGGTCTTTGTGAATTACAGCCTTTGAGCATCGCATTTGACCCACAGCTGCCCCCACCCTTAGCCTTCTGGCACCTTCTCTCACCTGCACAACCATACTGTGCCTGGCAGTTTCCCCAGAGACATCTGTGCCACCTCACCAGCTGTGTACTGCCGGCTCTAAAGCTCCACATTCTCATCCTTGTCCCCCATAGCTCATCCCGTCCTGCCCTCTGATTGTTCCTGACTTGCTGTGCCCCGTAGGCTCCTGGAGGACTTCTTGGTGTCTCTGGTGGTCTGCATGTAGCCGATGCCTTCTCAGTGCTTACTGAGCAGATGAATGAACATGCACTAACCTAGTTTTTTAAAATGTTGTAAGTAATAGAAACCCCAAATGTGAGAAAACAAAATAATTTTAATTGGAATCACCTGTTTTTTAAGCTAGACCTATTTAAGGATCTTAACTGCTAATTTTCAAAGGGTAACACGTGGATAATCATTCTTGAAATTATGTCTCCCTTTCATTTTTAACACATGGAGGAAGGAATAGAAATAAAGAACCAAGGAAGACTTAAAATCAATCTCGTGTACCAAATGCAAAAAGAAACAAAAGTCTATATATCCACTTATAGAAAACCATGTGACTAACAACACAGTTCAGAAGACATTAGCGATGCGAAAGCTAGAAGCACATAATCTGGGACACCCTCCTTCGTTACAGTTAAACAAGTCTGTTTCCACCTAATAAAATCAAACAAGATGTTAGGATTTTTAAGAAGACTTCTAATAATAACATTATAGTTCATGTCAATTATTCCTGAAAAACAGTTCTCAAGCCTCATTTAATGCTGGGCGATTCTTCTGACTTGGATGGAATCAGGTAGGGTAATACAGTCATCAAACAGACCCACAGCTAAGTAAGATAACGACTGGGTCCCCTATTCACAAAACTACTGCCTCCCCTTTTTAGAGAACTAATCTGTAATGTATCAAATATTTTGCATTCTGGGGAGAAATTTAGAATGAATTAAGAAGTCATATCCAATCTCCCCTATCTGATTCATAGGAAGCCCTGTTCATTTTAACTCCCAAATACTTCCCAGATCTGTCTGTGCATATCTGTTCCACCACCAGCACCCACATCTAAGCTACCATCTTCTCTCAGACTCCAACTCATCTCTTTATATCCACTTTGACCTCCTATAATAGCAAAGTGGTCTTTTCAGATCACGTAAAATGATCATGTCGTTCTTTGCCAAAAACATTGAGACCTCCCATTACTCTTGAGATAAAGACCCAAATCCTTAATGTGCCCCCCGAGGTCCTGCATGGCCTGGCTCCTCCTGCCCCGTCTCCAGAGGTGTTTTGCATCATAGAGCTGTCCCTCATGCTTTTGGGGTCTGGTGCCCCTGGACTTCTTGGACACACCATGCTCCCTCTTGCTCATGCTGTTCCTTCTGTGGGGAATGTACCTCCTGCCACCCTAAGTTCAGACCACGCTTCCTTAAGGAAATTGGCCCTGACCCCAGACTAATAACCTCAGCAGTCTCCCATTCTCCCTGTGGCCTATACCGTGGATGGCTTTGCACGTATTTGCATGACAGTGTGTTTAGTGTCTGTCTTCCCAGCCAGGCTTGGAGGCTCGGCCCTGGGTCTGCCTCTTGCACCTCCCCAATGAGCGCTCACCACTTGGCACAGTGCGTCATACAGGGCAGGCACTCAGAATAGAATCGTTGAACCAGGAATGTTGACATCAAGATGCCTGTGCAAACCTCTCACGCCTTCAGCCCTCTGCAAAGTGGGGACTGTGTTGCAGTTACTCTACCCACGGGGAAACCCATGCCTCCCTTGTACCCCAAGATAGTCACTTCTTCAATGGAGAGCAGGTAGCACAGGAGTGAGATGCGCATGCAGGCGGCCTTCCTCAAGGCTTTGAGCTGGTTTTGTCATTCCACAGTTAGAAATAGAGCCAGAGGTTCAGTGCTGGATGTCACGTCATCCAAAGAAACTGCAGCTGCGGTTTTTTTATTTTGTGATTTTTTTTTTGCTGGTGGTGGTGAGGATCTGGGGCCTACTTATAAATGTTTCAGATAAACAGACTGCAGTATTCACACAATCGTACACCAAGCAGAAAGGATACACCATACACCAGTGTGCTGTGTACCCACGCACGCACACATACACCCCACCAGGGGGAGGCACCCTGTTAGAGCTGTAGTAAGTAGAAATTCTTACTGCACGTTCAGGAGAGCAGCATCTGATCTGGTTGTTTGGAAGACACCCTAGAAGGACTTGTAAGGGTCTGTGCAGTGGTAGGGAAGAGACTGGGCAGCGGCCCTGCAGAAAGATCCTTAGGACCAGGCGCTAGGTAAGCTGAGGCCCATTCTCTACTGGGGAGATTCTGCCCTTGGGGGGGGGCAAAGATTGGAACTTGGAGGACAAAAAATGTTGGGTTCTAATACTGGCTCAATCTCCAGTGTCCTCGTTAGCCTCTGTCCTGGGGGTCCCGGGGGTCTACCTTCCTGGGCGTTAGCCGCTGCCTCCGTAGCCTGATTAATGCCTGTGCTTGGCCCCTAATTGTCGCAGGTGGGCATGGGGCAGGCAGGGCAAGACATCTGTTAGATGTACACCCCTGATTGGATGCACCCCGCTTCTCCGATGAGCCGGCTGATAGCCCGCTGTGCCTCAGTGGGGCCTGCAGTGCAGCCATGAGCCATAGTCCCTCCCCGCTGTGGCGTTGATAGCTGAAGAAAGGAAGCGTGAAGTGGGGGCACAACCAGAAACAGAACACTGCCCTGGTTAGACGTGCGCCAGCAGAGACTTACGTGCAAGGAGTCAAGCAGATCTCATGACAGGTGTGCGCTTTGCAGGCAGGCGACCTTGAGCTGGACCCCAGCGCCCTCCACTTCCTGCTGAGCCTCTGTCTTGCTGAGAAAATGGAGGCCATGTCACCTACCTAATGACAGTTTGGGGATTGCCCCTGTGCCAAGCCTGCGCTCCACCTGGGCTGCAGGAAGCAGTCTGTAGTCCAGCTCCTGGCAGCCAGTTCAAAAAGTGGATTTGGACCACAGCCTTTACTGCCCCTCCCGGAGTCAGAGTGTTTTCTGTGAGGAGCCCCACAGGGTGGAGGTTGAACACCATTCGAAGTTTGAACTTGGAGACAACAGTTGCCAGGCTTTGGGAGGATTTACCCCTAATATAGTGGCTTAGGGAGCAGTCCTGAAAACCGCCCTTCTCTGCCTGCCGTTGAGCCCCTGATCACTGCCTCCAGGAGAAACCGGAGGTGAGATTCTACCATCAGACTGGGCAGCTCCCCTGGACTAACTGCCTGCTTGGCCTCCTTACTTAGCATGGATAATATGGTCCCCTTCCTGTGTGTTTTTTTGTTTGTTTGTTTGTTTTTATCTTTCAATACAGCTTTACTTACCTGATAAGCAAATACTAGAGAAAAGTAAAGCCAGTACAATAAAAATACAGTTGGCCCTTGAACAATGTAGGTATGAACTGCACAGATTCACTTATACATTAACAGTAAAAATACTGGAAAATTTTTTGGAGATTTGCCACAATTTGAAAAACATTTTCTTTTCTCTGGCTTACTTTATTGTAAGGATGCAAAGTATAATACACGTAACATGCAAAATAAGTGTTAATTGACTGTATGTGTTATTAATAAAGCTTCCAGTCGATAACAGACTATTAATAGTTAAGTTTGGGGAATAAAAGTTATGTGCAGATTTTTGACTATGCGGGGGTGAGGTCAGTGCCTCTAACTCCCACATTATTCAAGGGTCAACTGTATTTAAAAATTCCGCATAGTTCCTACACCTGGAGAAAATTCACAATTAAAATTTTGATTTATATCTTCCAGAATTATTCTCTGTTAACACATGTATACGAGATTTTTTTTTTTCATTTTTTACAGAAGTGGAATTGTATAATGCATACAGTTTTAAATTACCAATCCTGGACACCTTCCCATGTCAGTAAATGTCAACCCATATCATTTTAACAGCTGCCCTGAATTCCATTCCACAGATGATACATTTTTTTACCATGCTCTACTGGTAGGCATCTAGGCTATTTAAATATTTCACCATATAAACAGTATGATAGTTATAATTCCAAGAATATGTATTTTGTACACTTGACCAATATTTTTCCCTTGGTATAAATTCTGAGAGATTATTATGAAAAGGGATGTGCACATTGAAATTTTGATGCCTGTTGCTAAATTATCTTCCCAAAAGGTTAAGCCAGTTAGAGTCCCATTAACAGTGTAGGTAAGAAGCATTTCTGTACATGCAGTAATAGTGGCTGGTTTTGCTCCTTTTTATCACTAGGTGCTGCTTTTAGAAGCACAAGAGGTGTTTTTCTCTTTAACCCCGCCCACCCTCTCTCTCACTGTGGTTGACACGTGTGCAATGGTTTTTTGGGAATGGCAACTCCCAGGAAAGGTTCTGTCTTAGTCCAGCTGAATTCTACTGAAAGCCTCTCAAGAAGCAGAACTGGGCGTGGATTTGTTAACTTGTCGTTTAGGGTGGATCTGATAGAAAAATTCAGTTACTAAAGGGAACAGCAAGGCAGTCTTCGAGGAGGAATAAATGGGGGAGAAAAGAAAACCCATCACAGGCTTATTAAAAACATTACAGAGGTGCAACTGAATATGGCTCACAAACTTCCAAAAACTAGTCAGAAGAATTTCTACTACAAGAAACATCCCCGCCTCACCCTATGTTAAGCAAAACTGTTTAACATCCTCATGAATTGCCATGGCCTGTACAGGACAGGAGTAGATCACTGCAGGCTAAAGCTGCGTGACATGGGGAGACAGCGTGGAAAAGGGACCTTGGATGGTAAGGAGGGATTTGAAGAAAACTAAAAACATGGTGACAATTGAAGTCCATATTGGCGACAGTAAAGAATTGACTCAGCATTTTAGAATATGGAGTTCAGTTATATGGTAGGAGAACTAGATTCCTTCCCAAATAAAGAAGAAAACATATAAAGGGACTAGATGAGTGGTCAGTGTGCTGTGACTGTCCAAGCCGTCGCATTGTGAGTAAGAACAGTTATCGAGTGCTCTGTCAGGGAAGACTTTGGAGACAAGCCAGACCCACATATTCAGGTCAGAGGAGTGCAGTCTGCACTCAGGTGTGTGTGGCCGGGGTGGAGGGGGATCCCTGAAAGTGGACCACTGCCAAAGCCAAAGAATTCATCACAGATTTGAATCTGTGTCCCTCAAGGTGGATGCAACCTGGAAAAATGTTCTGGAAAACCCTCTCTCTCAGGCTTGGCTTACTCTGAAATGCAGCTGGGTATGCATAGAAAAAACGAGCAAGAAGTCGCACCAAAGTACTGATGTGGTCACCTTTGGGTAGGGGAGTTGTGGGAAGTGTTTTTTCCTTCAAATTTCTATGAGAGTGAACATTTTATTTGTAAAATGCTAGCCCTATCCCCACCCCTTCCCTTGTACTACCTGCTGCTCTGTACACAGTGACTTAAGCCAGGGCTGGCCGGTAGCTGGAGAGGAGGCCATGTCTTCACTTCAGCTGCGCTGCGCTTTCCAATCCTCCTGGGAAGCTCCGAGGGAGGGAGCCGCCAGTATGATGAGTGGTGGGGGAGACAAGCAGCCGGGAAGGGGTTGGGGGGCGGGTGCACATACAAGGCTGGGTTCTCAGGATGGCAGGTAAATACATCCCTCAGCCTCATTCCAGAAGTTTCTTCCTTTTTATGTCCCTCTGTTTTGCTTCTTTGAAAGAAATTCCACGCATCTTTGTTTATGAGTGTAAAATCTAATTTATGGGAACAAATGAAATTCATTTGGGTCTCTATAGTCTTGATGAGTATGCCCTGTCTTTTCTGTTAAACATCATTAATTTCTTGACAAACAGATAGCAGATGAAAAAATGTTGCTCTTCTGCATTGTTGGTAATGTATGAGGAATAATTAAAACTCATAAATAACCATTAAAAATTTGCCTTTAATGATAACATCTCTAAACGTGTAATATCTTAACAATTTAAAAGCCTCATTAGACGTTCTCTTATACCCAGAGCCCATTTGCTGAGAAATATTTCTGAATAAATTTTGCCTATCTTTTTATAGTAGGACATTAATACTCTGTAATAATGTGCAAAATGACTTCATGATGGTGATATTGTCGTTTTATCTTTGCAATTACAGACATACCAAGTGGATCTGAAGCCCAATGGGTCAGAAATAATGGTAACAAATGAAAACAAAAGGGAGTATATTGAGTACGTATACACACACTTAAATCTTTTCTGTTGTTAAGTTGAACAGCATTATTTGGTGACATCCCTTACCAGAATAGCTCATGCATGTTATGGACATGTTTTTAACAAGATGAGTTCCTTTCTGGCTTGGGCTAATAGCTGAATTATGAAATGGAAAGTTTGACTTGTATCATGACTGCAGTGAGCTGCCACATAAAGGGGAAAAAGGTTTAATTATTGAGTAGTGGGGGCAGGTTCCCTTTTGGAGTATGTGGATATCTAGTCTAAAATTGAGAATTGCAGCAATGGAACACAGTCAATGACCAGTGGGGTAAAATTAGGAACAACCAAAGATAAAATATTTCATCTCTCTCTTGACTTCTTTTCCATAATGAAAAAATAAGAAAATAGTTAAAAGCAGGTAGGAAAGTTTGGCCCATGCAAACATAGTGAATTATTTCTCATATCTGCAATTTTCTTAACCAAATCTCAGCCTGTTAGTGGAACACATGTTGAGACCTTTGGAAGTCCAGCTGTAAGTAATCCTAGGGCATTCATGCTAAACAGAAGGACTTCCTCTGTTGGGCACATTACATTTTCCTCTTTGGGGTGTATGTGTGCTTCAAACACCCAGTGCTGGCATCTTCCAGGGATTACCAGGTAGCACTCACTACCCTGCCCAGGGGTGTGGGCAGGGCAGCAGAGGGGGCTCCAGGCTCCAGTTTCTGCTTGTCTGGCCCATTGTTGCAGCTGCCTGAGCTCCTTGTTTGCATTCAGTACTCCATTTCAATAAGCTGGTTCCCTCCTCTCTTCTCAACATAACTGGTTAGACTATTTTAAACTGAGAGAATTGGCCGAGGGTCTTGGCCTCTTTTAGTGTGATCTGCAAAGAGAAACCTATTCTTCCTAATTAGGAAGAAACAGACAGTGTTGGGGTCTCTACTAGGGACCCTGACAAAGCATGGATGATAACACAGACTTCTCTCCTTGCAAGTTAAAAGCTTGCTCTGCTTAATTAAAAAAAAACTACAAGTAAGATAGCACAGTTCCTACCTGTTCACGTTAGTTTGCACGTTGTTCTGAACTCAGTCTGAGCAAGCTAGACAACAGCCTGGCAGGCATGTTGTCGTCACTCAAACTTGGAATAGATTTTTTAAAACAAAGCATCCAAGGGTGACTAGAATCAGAAGTCTGAGAGTTTTGACACTGTGATATGTGTTGTATATCATTCTTTGCAGTTAATTCTCTTAGGTTTCCAATTTGGTGGGGAGTAGGCTCAGGCAGAGGCTCAGCCAGCTTGACTGAGCAAAGGGGTGAAATGAACCCCGCTGCCCCCAGCCGTGTGCCCCTGGAGCAAGCAGACGGCTGAGGCTTGGACTGATGATGGCAGCCCGGCGCAGCGAAGCAGCCACGGCTGTGTAGTGGGGCTGCCCTCCAGGCCGTTGCCATGGCGCCACCTCGGCCATGAGAGCCCTTCATGACCAGGTCCTTGTGCTGTTCCATGACAACGCGCCTTACATGGAGTCCACAGTGGATTCTCCTGGCAGTACATCTGCTGTACGCTGAACATCCTTCAATGGATGTTTTATCCTTCAAAGTGTAGTATTATTAGTGTAAGTCATTTTGTTGATGACTTTGATGCCATTGTCGAAAAACAGTACATTGGATACTGGAATGAAATACCATATCACAAAATATGTTGTACCAGGTACTCCCTTTAAAAACATGTACATATTTACACATCCATGTGGGTATACGTATGAGTTTGTATACACACATTTACACGCACATACATATGTATTCGTACCCCATGACTCTTTTTTTCATCTCTTTTCTCCCCATAATCCTAAAGTTACTTTGATAAACTAATGCTTGATCTCAGGGGTGGGGGGACTCAATTATACTTTTGAAATCCTCAGTGAGATTTTAGGTGGTTTCGCATCTGTTCCCGTCACACTCAAGAGAAGTCATGAGTTGCGTGTGCCACAGCACTAGAGCCTCCCTTTTCCTTTGCCATTGTAGGAGTCTCCCTCCTTTCCCCTGCCCGATGAGAAGCAGTTGCAGTTGCGAAGAAAGAAATGCGCCCTGGTGGTGATGAGGTGGTTAAACGCTGTTCGTTTTCTCCCGCAGCCTAGTCATCCAGTGGAGGTTTGTCAACAGGGTCCAGAAGCAGATGAACGCCTTCCTGGAGGTGAGCTGTGCTGCTGGGGCCCCTGCCCGCGCCCCCGTCCCAGGCTGAGCGGCTGGCTCCCCTCCTCAGGGCATGGCGGTGGGACAGACCCCACACTGAGAGGCAGGTGTGGGCGCTCACACTGTTGGCCAGCCTCCAGGACGGCAGTGGTCCAGCACTGTTCCCCCACCCTCTGTCTGTTGATTTGTGTTCTCCTGCTTTGCTTCTCTGATTTTTATATTTGCTTCGACCATTTTTAGAGAGAACTTTTTACAGACTTGATGTAGAAGGGCAGGTCCCCCTGCACAGGCTGGAACCCCTGTTTGCAGATTCAGGCAGAACCCACAGGCGCTGGGGGCGCATCCCTGCCTTTTGCTGTGGTGACCGCTGTAAGACACACAAGGACTCAAGGCCCAGCAGTGTGAAAGGCAGTTTCCAGTAGGGCTACCGCCCTGTAACAATCAGTCGTCGAACATTTTGTTTTTTATCCCCTACCTTCTTTCAGAGCTATTGCTCACAGACTTCTCTCCTACACAGGTACATGTAAAAGACTTTTTCTTCAGCTGGTTTATATCTTATACGAAGCCACCTTGTGACAGCTGTCACCCTTTTAAAGGGTGAAACGGGTACTTCTCAGATACAAATAGTATCAGTGATGCTCCCAGGGTCCTGATGAGAGTTTAAAAATGATTCATTCTGACCAAAAGTGGAATTCCCCTTTTAAACCTTGATGATGGGCTTAGTTATGTCAAGAGAACATAAGAACAAGCCCCAGGAGCACATCAGAAATTTCCTCTGAACCAGTGCAGAGTTCTCCACTGCCGAGGCGCTCCTAAGCTGTCCCAGCTCTGCTCTCTGCACCTGAGGAACGAGGCCCCAGCCCAGGCAGGACACTCAAAAAAATCCAGGGACTTGGAGTTAGACTCACTTGAGAGCACAAGTTTCACAAGGAACCCAGGAAGCAGATTCCTGACCCCACTCTGATGATCACCTCTCAGAATCAGCCTCACACGAGGCCCAGGGAGGTGGAGCGCCCCGTTGAGGCCACTTCACTAGTTAGATGACCTGGGAATTACAGAGCTCAGTCTTCCCTAGACTCGATCATAACCATATCCTTTTCTCTTTCATCTGTGTGCCTCCAGGACCTTATTTTTGGACATGTTCTCTTGCACATCTGTGCCTTGGGCATTTTAGGACACACTGACTCAAGAACAGTGTGTCACAGTGGCTTCTGGAATCCACCTGCCTGAAGTAACCCTATTTTCATAGGGTTTCAGAAGCTACTTAAGTACCTGAACTCTGTAGATTCTACTGCTTTTCAAAATTTTTGTATTGTGATTGCTGTTGTGTTTTTTTTTTTTTTGAGCTACATATACTCGATACTGTCCCTGATATATATAAGTCATCAGTAGAGAATGTGTTTTTCTTGGCTAACCGAAAGTTTGTTTTCCTGTAAAATTTCTCTCTTTCAAGGAAAAAGGAATTTAAGATGACTTTTTTTCTTTCAGGGATTCACTGAACTGCTTCCTATTGATTTGATTAAAATTTTTGATGAAAATGAACTGGAGGTTTGTATTATAAACATTTTTTGTAGATTCTTTTTAAGTCTCCACTACTACTTCACAAATGATATTTTATTCTCTGACCTGTAACGTCCTGGGAAGCTTAGCTGAATTCTACTACATGCCCCATATGGGTTTGTCTGTCAGTCTGGGAGTAGGGAATAGCAGACATAATCTCCCGTAGACTCCTTGCCCAGGAGAGGGCAGTTCTGGGACATACCGGGCAAGTAGAGGGCTGCTAGGCTGAGTGGGTTCAGGCTGGTGGCACCAGATAAGGAAAACCCCTGCTTCTGGGAGAGTCAGAGTTGGCAGTGGCTAGTGGGGTGGTGGCATCCTGCTCAAGATTGTGCTGGCTGAGTATCTGCACCTCCCCACATCCAGCTGAATGGGGACTTGGCCAGGAAGTGAGGGTAAGCATCTGCTAGGGGCTGGAGAGCAGATGTCTGGGTGAACTTGACCTGTTCTGTTGAGTCAGGGAAGCATCAGGAGGCCATGAGGTAGTAGCAGGAGGTCTTTTGACATAAGGTAGTTTCAGCTGCTTTGTGTCGACATAGATCTGAGAACTGGCAGTCCCGCGAGAATAGCGGTCTCTCGCCCTTGTTGTGTGGACAGGACAGCAAGAGGAAGACTGTGTGTGTTGAGAAACTGTTGGTGGAGTTCTGTTACCATTTGTCCGAGCTGCATCCTGTGACGCCTTCCTCACAGACTGCCTTTCTGTTCTTTCATCTTAAAATGCAAACTGCAAGATAGACCATGTTGTCTAGCTCTTACATTGTACAGGCGGGGAAACGGAGGCAGGGAGAAGTTAATAGTCTCATGGGTTTACCTTCAGCAAGGCTCTGGCACAATAAGGCCTAGAAATCTGGTTTTCAGACATCTGGTTTGGTTCTTCCGTTTTACTCTGGTACCTCGGCAGGAATAGCATGTTCATTTGTCTGCAGGAAACCATCCCTGTGGAGCATTAGACAAACCAAGGAGTTCTGAGACCAAGTCAGAGCAGCCACTGCGTTAGCGCAGCGCCCCCACAGTCTCTGCACAGATGAGCTCTTCACTGTCATAGACACACAGTCTTGTGGGCAGAGAGAGATTTTCAAATATTGAGACAAATAACCTCAAGGGGGAACAGCCAGAGTAATGAGCAACTGTAAATGGAGCATTAGAAAATCTATGAGCATCTTGCAGAGATTAGAGGGGTAGGGAAGACGACTGATGCGGCGTTTTCATTTCCAGTGTGAAATGTTACGGCCTGTGCAAGTGCTAGAATTGGGTCCCCCTCGTCACCTACACTGATCTGCAGTGGCAGGGAAAATTCCCCGTCATGGGTTTCAGCAGGTTGCCAGCTTACCTGCTCTGCACATGACAGAATGCTGGCATTGAGAAAAGGACATTTCCCCATGTGTGATTTCTTCAGCTTTCACATTGCACCCCGTTTATATCTGGTCAACCTTCCTCGTAGTTGCTGATGTGCGGCCTTGGTGACGTGGATGTGAATGACTGGAGACAACATTCTATTTACAAGAATGGCTACTGCCCAAACCACCCTGTCATTCAGTGGTTCTGGAAGGTAAGGCCAGGGCCTGCAGGGCCACGTCTCTGCTCCTCTACCTGGGTCCAGCCTATGGGCTCTAGGCCACCCTCGCCGTGGTCTTGTTTAGGCCAGCTGCTGGCAGCAGGTTTTGTTAACACCTGGACTGCTCGGGGAGAGAAGGGACAGACTGAACGAGAAGCAGCCGTCTCTGCTGGTTTTCTGTCACGCTAGTAGACAGCTCTTCCTGGAATAGTTTGATCCTTAACAAAGCATACACTCCCTCCTTTTGTTTGAGGAAGCCGTTAAATAGGTAATTGATTCAAGAGTTGGAACTGATGCTCCAAAGTGTATAGGTAACAGTGGGAGGCTTGCTTCCCAGGGCAGACGCGTGCTTTGGGGCTTTTTCCAAAATGCCATAAGGGGCTAGAATTACTTTACCAATTTTTTTGCTGTTGTTAATTCCAACAAGCATTTTGATCTTTATATCTTCCAGTCAGAGATGCAAATGGAATTTGGTTTACTCTCTTAGAGACAGTGTTTGCATTCTGTTTAGCTTAGGAGTGAAACAGGAATGAGTGGGCCCACGGAAGAGCCAGCAAATGGCCTTTAAAAGAACAGCCATGGAGGGAAAAGCTCATTTCTTAGAGAAATAAGAAATCATGTTAGTTTCTATCAATACAAGAAGCTCCAGCAGAAGTATAGAGAAATAAAAGAAAAACAATCTTCAAACCTTGGTCCAAATCTTATTTAGCTTTGATTTTGGATTTTTTTTTTTTTTACAGCAGTTCAAGCAACATTACCAGGAAAGCTACTCAATTCTTGTAATAATTCAGATACGTAAGGTACACAGGTTATTGAGAGGCCTATCCTGGCCTGCTTTTTTTTTTTTCTTTTTTTAAAATGTTAGCTTAGAGAATTTGTCCACAATCTGGTTAACCCACCTCATAACCTGGGTTCCCCTGGTGTTAACACTTCTTGGACACAGTCTATTTATAACTGGCTTGGGGTAACTGCCATTCCTCACACACAGAAATAAGAGTTTAGCACCATCAAAGAATTGGCTTTTTTATATCATTTATTTTAACCTGTTGGCAGAAGAAGAAAGACATTATGATCTCTTAAGATTAGAGAGGCTGGTATTGTGGTGGCCATAAAAAAACCAAATAACTCCATTTTCAGAGTCTCCTGTGTAGGTCTTACCTTGCAATATGAATAAGATTAAGTTTGCCCATCTGCATTACAGCAGCATGTGCCTCTTGTCACACACAGGCTGTAACGACCTTCTGCCTCCATTCGCAGGCTGTGCTGCTGATGGACGCTGAAAAGCGTATCCGGTTATTGCAGTTTGTCACCGGAACGTCCCGAGTACCTATGAATGGATTTGCAGAACTTTATGGTGAGCAAGATGTCATGAGATTGAGGTCCCCTGTGAATTTCTAGCCGAGCATCACTGTGACGCACGGGAAGACTGCCTCCCAGACCTCTAGCTGTGTGTTGTGCGCACACGTACTTCTGTGGGGAGGTAGCAGCGCGTTCCCAGGCTGTTTTTGTAGCTACCTGATGGGGGGCCGGGGGTTGTCTTGGCTTCAAGCCACAAGGTTGGTCTTCTCCCTTTTCTTTTTTCATTTCTTTGTTTTTTTGTTTTGTTTTCTTGTGGTCATTGTTTTGTTTTGGTTTGTCTTTTAAAACAAGATTTTGCAGAATCATCCATGTGGTTATAAACTGAATGTTTAAAGACCTCTCATCTTCAGAAGGCAGAATTCTTCAGTGCCTACTGTAGATTAAAAATTTCTCTTCCTGCTCTGCATATTAAAAGTCATGTTTTATTTTTTTCCCCCAAAAGTAGTTTTAAATTAAACTTCCAGGGTTCGGCAGAAAGGCAGCAGCCTTCTGCACATCAGTTTGTTGTTGGGGCTGTTAACTTGGCCAGATTCCATTCCACAGGCGGCACAGAGTCTGCGTTGTGAAGTTGTGCAGACCTCTTGCTCGCCCAACATTAAATAACACCCCTCTGCATGCCTGCCCACCTCCTTCCCTTTTAAGTCACACCTAAGCTTTGTTCTCCTGCCTGAGCACTCTTAGCATTTATTTCTCTTTTTGTGTCTAGGTTCCAATGGTCCTCAGCTGTTTACAATAGAGCAATGGGGGAGTCCTGAAAAACTTCCCAGAGCTCACACATGGTAAGTAACAAAAACACACAGGGTGTCCACAAGCAGTATTTTAAATACTTAGGTGTGGCTATAGAATGTTCTGTCACCTGTCCATAAGTTAGAGTATGAAATGTCAGTGATACTGATGAAATACAAGTGGTATAGTCATGCTGATAATACTTAAACCAATATTTGAATGAACCCGGCATGTTTGGCACATAAAGTGTTGAACACTCCATGCTGTGGGGGCATCCTCCTGTAAACCCCATGCTTCCCTAATTATTCTAGGGAGCAGAGATTTCACTATCTATTCACCATACATAGGTAGGATAGCTCCCCAACTCCGAATAGATTGGGTTTTTATTTCTACCTTAAATTAGTTTTTTAGAACTTGGGATAAAATTTCACATTGTTTTTAGAAGTCTTTCATGGCCATCAATCACCCTTAAGACTCTGGAATTAAGCAACAGTCTGATTGTGGCTGGAGGCACATGAGAGGTCTGACAAAGGACCACCTGCAGGGGGACAAAGGGAGAGTAGCAGGTGCTTAGCAGGGCTCCACGATGCAGGAGGAGGAGCTTCCCTCAGAGAGCTCTTGCTAATCCAAGCCCCAGTGTCCCTGAGTTGATTGCTCCCAACAGGCTTTGATTTCTTGCTCTTAGGAAGCAGGTGGAAGGGAAGTAGGTCCTCTGAACGGTGAGCCACATAGACCTCTGTCCCTGGAGTAGTGGTGGCCCCAAAGCCCACGTGGGCCCCGCTGCACCGCGCAACAATCTCAGTGCAGGAAGCACCTCCCTAACCCCAGAGTGCCACTCAGGAGAGAAGACATGTGTCTGGTAACAATTGTGAGAGGTGTTTAGCTTCTGTTTGATTCTCTCACCTGGCCAAAAAGAAAGCTTTTGCCCATTTATACCATCCCTGTAATGGATGGAGTGAATGTGGGCATCCCCCATCAGAGCCTTGGAAGCAAGCGGCTCTGCTAAACTTGGCAAATATACAAAGCAGCCATTGTCCATGATTCTCTGCCTTTAATCTAGGGGAAGAATATTTTGGTAGTTGGGAGCTTTTATTCCAAAATGCTATCAGAGTCGCATGTAGTTTTCTGGGTATGATAGCCTTCTTTTGAAAGGCAGCCAACAGAAAGCCAAGCCCCAGGACTGTCAGCACGGATGCAGGACTCCCACACCCGTTGTCCGATAGTGATCAGCAGGAGTAAGCTGAATTATTGCGCACAGCTGCTTCTGTGGGCCAGTCATTATTTAATCTCTGTGGTTGTTTATAGATGCTACTAATGTTCCCCTGGGCTATCAGGAAGCTAGCCCATGATCACACAGCTCACAGAGCCACAGATCACAGGATTTGAACTCGGATCTGCCAGAATTAGAATCTTCACCCTAACCACACACTGCATCTACTCTGTTGATACAGTCCGCTTTCTTTTTAGACTCTTCAAAGAGAACCAAACAATAGGGTGTTCAGTCTGTGTCCCTTTGGACTCAATGGACAGATGTCTTACTGTTAACCTATTTCAGAATCCACATGTTTCAGCCCAACTGAAATATAGTGCTGCCTGGATAAAACCTCTGAAATGTGTGCCTCTCAACTTTGGCTACACATTGGAATCACCTGTAAACTTTAAACTGATGTCAGGGTCCTGCCCCTGGAGATTTGGACTTAGCTGACCTGGCGTGTAGCCTGCGCTGTGGGATTTCCAGAGCTTCCTGGGTGGGTCTGGCAGGCAGATAGGTTTTAAAGTCTGTGCTCTTTCCTGAAGGACAAAGGTCTCTGTACACAAGAAAAGCAACTCAAGTGACTCTTACTGAAGCCTCTTTCTTCTCTGTGAAATAGAAATAAAGCAACCAGGCAGTCTTCTAATGGTGCTCTCTTCAGACTCCTGACACGGAGGAGCGGGAGTGGCAGGCACACCGGCCAGCAGGGGTGGGACTTGCCGTTCTGTCTGCTGTGTGGCGTTCCTCCCAACCTAGCCCCAGGTCTTACTGTAACGTAGGAAATGGTAGTTTTGCTGGCTGCTCCACAGTGACAGTTCCACACTCCAGTTAGCCATAGATACAGTTAATTCCTTCCATGTTTTTTGAAAATATAAAATATACAGTCAGCTTCAAAATAAAAACCTGATTTATCAGGAGAGCAAGAGCTGGCTCTTTCTGAAGGATATGTTTCATCAACTTCTCAGGCATAATTACTGAATGTCTGGTATTTAAAGGGCTCCATTTCATTGTACTATCAAAGGTCACTGCTTGGATATTTAGGATTACACTGTGCTAAGAATGACAGACCCACCTGGTCTTAGAGGTAGACTCTAAAAATAAAAATTAAAAAAATCTGATTCGGGCCACACATCCTCTGCATGAAGAAACTGAAGCCCATTGAGCATGAGGAGGTCACATAGCTAGTGAGTGACCAGCCAGAGGCATGTACCTGCCCGGACCTCAGAGGCAGCGATAACAAACACTTAGACATTTACTGTTCCAGGCATTGTTCAAGCACTTCATGCGTATTAACTTGGAATCATCACAACAGTACTAGGAAGTGGGTAAAATGACAAAAGGGAGTCAGTGGTCACAGATCCTTGCGAATGCATTTCCAAACCCCATAGGGGCTGCAGGTCTTGTCCTTTGAAATTACCACCTTAAAATTCAGACCAAAGGCACTTTCTGCAGCGGGCTCTTCTAAATGCAGTCTGCAAATGTGGAGTTCTGTCTTTATAACTGGTAACATGTTCAAGATCATTATCAAAATGGAAAGTCAGAATTGAAAAGTTCTTTTAGACTTACTCTTTTCGGATTTCTGGGTTTCTGAGAACTCCAGTTTGAGAAGCACAGTGTTGTTTTCTGCTCTGTTTTTTAATGTTTAGTGAGTGTTAAATATCTGAGAGCTCAATGTATCTTAAAGTTTAGGGGTTGTAAAGGGCCCGCCACAGGGATGTGTCTGTTTCTTCCTAATGCTGATCATCAGCTTTTGAAACATAAGTTGTTCTCCCCATATTTGCAATGACAAGTCAATGCAAGAGGGAGTTTTAAATGGAATAGTTAGAGCTGGGCTTTGGAGCCTGCCTGGGGCTGAATCCTGGTTCTGTGGCTTACTGTGTGACCTTGGGCAAGTTACCGAACATCACTACCTTGAATTCTTCCTCTAAAAACTAAGGGTAAAGCATTGTCCGCCTGACAAGGTGATTATTAGGATTTGCTGAGGGTAGTAAAGGAAAAGTACCAAACAGTGCTGACTGGCATGGGGCAAATGCTCCAGGAACATCGGCTCTTAGGAAGACATCACTAGCTGTGGCAAGCGTGTATGGCCATTGTCATAACAGGTGCACATGAGCAATCCACCCCCATAGGCATGAATTTTGTGACTAGGGGCTCCAAGTCATTGCATCCCATGTGGGTAGTCACTGAATGGAGAGGGAATTATAATAATCTCTGGGCACTCACTATGTGCCTGGCCCTCTTTCCATGTGTTCTGATTTGACCTTCCCAGTATGCTGTGAGCAGATTCCCCATTTCACAGAAGAGCAGAGAGATTCCAAAGTGAGATGACGTGCCTGGAGCCACACAGCTGGCAAGTGGGAGAGCCAGGATTGGACCTGGTCTCACAGACAATCATACTTCATTGTTCACAGAGGCCAGTGGTTAGTGAGGCCTCCAGACAATCACCAAGGTGATTTGTAATGCACCAGCTGAAGCGTCCTGGTACCTGGGGGCCTTTTATAAATGCAGGTTTTCACTCTAAATGTTGATTGCTTACCTGACTTGGTTAGAGGAGGTAGCTTCCTGTCAGGGTTCTGGAGCTACAGACAGCCTGGGTGCCGGGCTTCAGGACCCAATCTGCAGAATGGAGAAAACATCACCCCCTTCATAGGCTTGTGATGAAAATGAAATTAGTTACTACATGGAAAAGCCCTTGGCTTGGGGGCTGACTTAGAAGTGAGGGTGTTGGAAACAGATGCAACCTGGCTGCACCTGCAGCTGTAATGCACCAGCCCTTTGTGTTTGAAGGGTTTTGAAATCTTGGCGTGTATGTCAGTTACCTCGTCTTTACTGTCTCCCTCCCAGCTGGATTTTTCCAGGATCCGCCTCTGGCTGTAGTGGAGAGATTACAGGGACTGTTAGAAAATTCTTCCTTCTCCTCCGTAGGTTATGTGGCCTGGAATTCTCCCTGGAATCTATTTTTGATAATCTGTATTGCTGGTTAAGACTTTCACATCCTCTTGCTTGAACACCAAATGCTACCATAACTAAAGGATAGAACTTCATATCTATACTTCTTGTTACTTTTGCAGCTTTAATCGCCTTGACTTACCTCCATATGAAACCTTTGAAGATTTACGAGAGAAACTCCTCATGGCTGTGGAAAATGCTCAAGGATTTGAGGGGGTAGATTAAACGCCCCTTGCCTCAGGATGGTTGTTCATCAGCAAGTCCTGCTTGCACGTGCCTGACAGACTTTGCAGAGACGACGGCAGCAGTTGCACGGTGCGGCTTCTGGAGCAGAGCCTTTCCCGGGACTTGCCCAGGTTCAGCTGTGGGAACCCAGGCCAGTCGTGTTCCTGCATTTCCACCGTGAATTATCAACTGGGTGATGTGTACACTAATTACATTTCAGAAGGACTTAGTTCTATTTATGTTGTGCCTCTGTAGGCAAAGCCCTTAATAAATATTTTACATACTTTATAATGACAATGAATGGAATTAATCACTCTACAGGTATAGTATTACAGCTCATGTTTACTTTTTAAAATGATTTAGACCGATTTTCAGATCTTATTTCATTACAATTAAAGATGTCTCGTGTACTTGGAAAAGTGAGCATATTTTTTTTGTATATGAATTTCATACCAGGTTTAATGTCAGTGACATTTTTATTTTTGAAGTCCTTTGACATCCTTACCCCCTACTTTATGAGACTTGGGAGACTGATTTTTGTCCAAAAAACTTCTACAGACAAGTACTTTGAGAGACTTTAAAATACAACATCAGGCATAATTATGATTCTTTTCCATACTCAGAATGAAAAAAAACTGGATATTCCATTTTTTCATTCAAATCTAGCGTCATACAGGCTAAGAGAATTGTAACGTCGTATGACAAATTTTGTGTTGACTGGAAAGAATTACACCATTATTCTTCAGAAGTGATCATGTGTGCTATGTATTACATGTTTGAGACAGGATTGGACTCATTTCTCACAACAGAAATTATGTAACCCTTCCTGAAGCTGTACAGTCATTCTTTTATTATAGTTTCCTCTTTGCTGTTCGTAATAGAGACATTTGAATGACACTTGGCACTCCTTGATTTGAAACTGTGGAAACCAGATTTGTTCTGTCTCCTATTTGTGTAGCATTTGCTGATGGTAGCTAAATAATCGATTTTTGTCCTAACTGCACCAATTCTGAAGGCACTTTATGTACTACATGGAGGTCATATCTGGTTTTGTTGATGTTCTGTTTTTTTTTTTTTTATCATAGACATTAAATGTGATGATTATTTCTTCTCCCCGCACACATCTCTCCGGTGCACTATCAGTTGTGAATCTGGCTGATGGTGTATAAAACTGGATGTAAAGCTGAGCCTCTGCAGACCTGTCCTCAACAGTTGTTTTGTGATTTGTACTCGACTACAAAGATTAATTTAATATACACTTAATCTAACTGGGTTTTGTTACCTATGACATGTTGCATGCTTCAATACTGTGTACTGCTGAAGTTGTGTCCAGTCTGTGCTAGATTAGAAGTGAGAGAGATGATTTGATTGGCCCACTGTGGTCAAGCTGTTAAACTGGTAGTGGCTGGGGATTGAGTGCCCAAGCAGTTTGATTGTGCTGCTTGCAAGTCCTTGCTGCTGAATTCTGTCGCATTTTGAGAGAACGCCTGAGGCACTGTGGGAGCTCAGCAGCCTGGCTGTCCTTTCTGTATCTGTTGCACCAGGCGCTGCCTTAACAGTAGGAGGACAGCAAAGCTCTTGCCAGTCAGAGATAAGACAAAAAAATCGTGGCTTCACAGCCTCATTTGTTAGAAAAGAAGGACCTTTGGGTGTAAGAAATTCATCTGTACCCAGCTCTGGGTGGCTTGTGAGAAGCCATAACCATTTGTGGCTGTAAATGAGTTCCCCAAAGGGGTGCAGAGGTCTGAGGCGTCCAAGCGAGGTGTATTTCACCAGAGGGGAGGTTGGCCCCCTTTTGATACAGATTTTAAAGTATCCTGTAGTGAACAGAAAAAAATGTGTAATAGAAAGAGCAATATTGCTCATTATTTTTACCTACAGGTAGGATTTTTTTTTCCTTCAGTAATATAACAACTGTCTCAGTGGCAAAAACCACCTTTTCGTGACCCCTCATCATCCAGTCAGCCTTGTTTTTAAGACGCTTGCCTAAGTCTGAGCAGTGTGCTTGGATGGCTGCTGCAGGTGGTGGTGTAATGATGGGGAAGAAAGCCCACAATTCTAGTCTAAGGCCTGGGATTCTTCTGTCATTTGTAAACTGTATATTCAAAAAAATAATCAGAATATTCTCTAAATGTGTATCAGGTTAAGTATTGAAAACATGAAAGAAAAAACCATCCTAAGAGAATCCCTCCTCCAGGAACAGATAAGAGTTATCGATGTATATACCCTGGAAGGCATAGTTGTGAATGACAGTTCGGTTCATCTACCCCGTAATGTTGGATTTCAGTGACAGCTAGAGTTCTGGGTTAAGAGGTTTTGTTTTATCCAAGTAAGGTTCCCTAATTCTCAGCAGTTCTTGTGTTTCTCTCTTTGTCCACAGTAGCCCTGTATATTTTGTTTTCTCTAAATCCCGATGACCACTCTCCATCCTCTTCACGACGTATTGCAGATGGAAGCGCAAAAAGGCGCAAGGAGCAGACTGCTGGGTCCTGGGCTCCAGCCCGCTCCGGTCAGCAGGCGTGGGGGAGGCGGGCGGGCTCACTTTTTCTAGTTGTCCTGAGCAGTTGTGCCATTCCCAAGTCCAAAGTCTCTGTCCAAAGAAGAAGTCCCTGTCTTCTTAGAAATTACCTGACCCTAGCATCTTTAGTTCTCTGAAGAAGGTACGGTTACTATGGGCCATTCTTCCATGAGGTTAAGAAGTTCCAGAGTTTACATACTGCATGTTGACGGTCTAATGTGAGCCATCACAGCTGCCGTGCTGGGTTCGCAAAGCCTGCTCAGTGGCAATAGCTTTAACCAGCGGTCTGCTCTTCTCCCTGCTGCCTCTGAAGCAGGAGACAATGAAGCATCTGTTTTAAAGTAGAATTCAGCATCAGTACTCTCGTTTTCCTGAAACATTTTCTATTAGCTGCTTCCCTGTAGCCAGTCCCCTAGCAAATCACAAAGGTAAAGGATGCTTCTTCGATTTTTATTTCCAAGGCCCTTTGGTAGCTAACATCAGCTATTCCCCAAGGTGCCATGACAAGTGCCATAAAGAACCCGACCTGGATTGTTCCTTCCACAGAAAGGGACACATTCAGAGAAACAATTTGTAAAATATTTGGACCACTTTCTTCATCTCACTTTGTTAAATGGACAACACGTACCACTGCTGTTTCATCTTGCCAGATCTAAGTTGGCTCTCTTGAAAGCCAAGTTCACATGCAGCAGATTTCTAATTGTCCTAAAGGTTACTAGTTGTTTTAACACTTGAGTCTAGTACTTTTTCCTAAGTCTTGTTATCTCACTTCTGAAAATTTAAAATCAAAAGAGCCCAGGTTAATCAGTTCTAGAACCCCTGTCCACTGTACTAGCTCTCCTCTTTCTTTGCCTCTTTTCCACCCGCCCTGACTCCGCACGCCTGTCCTGGGAGTGCAGGGAGAGGAGTGGATGCTCTGTCTGGTATCATTTTCTGCCTTGCCAGTAGGGGGTGCTGCTGTGCAGGGTAACTGCCTGGCCTGCTCCCTTCCTAATCCTCCTGGGAGATCACGCACTACCTCTGTCTCAACAGGCTTTGGGGTACATCCTGATAGGTCATGTCAAAACTGCCAATTTCGGGTCTGAGATAGGTTTTTAACAATCCTGATAAACTCCACTTTGTACTTTAGATTTTAAAGGTGGTAAGAAAATGTGATATGCTTTGGACCACTATGTTTAATTTATCAAAGCCTTAATGAACAGTGTATATACACTTGCATACGCTCACCACAACCCCAGAATGTTTTCAGTGTGTCTGAGACAGTGTTACAGTGTTAGAGGACATGAGCTTGTATGTTTTGTTGTAGAAAAGGATAACTTTCTGTTTGTATGAAATTTTCCAAGAACTCTCATTAGACATGTATCCTTCATTAAAGGTGTTATGTGCAAAGCAACGCATGTTTAAAATGCATGACTTTTGTTTGTTGGTTTTATGTGTATAAGGAGTAACAATAGGAATCTAACGACATTGGCTGCAGACCTCTGTGTATTGCATTCTCAAACCTTGATTCAGTGCATTGAAAGCCTTCCTCATGACCCTTACCTGAGTCTACAGACATCTGCGTTCCTGTGTAAGCCTGTTTGCCCTCTTACTCAGATTAATTTCACTTAGATTGTCACAGTTTCCTTCATGTTAACTTTGCATAACTTTGTTCTTTACTACTGCGTATGTTATACATATATATGTACATATGCTGTCCAAATATATATGTATATATTTGTATAGCATTTTTATGCCTTTCTTGAGTAATCTGGTTTCGAAAGGGAATGAGAGCTTAGTTCCTTCTACAGTTTTCTCCAAGCCGTGTCCTGAGAATTCTGACCCTCAGAGCCTGAGAGAACGCCAGGAAGAGAATGTTTAATGCTGTCATTTCTTAATTCAGTATCTATTATCAAATGAAACATGAAAAAAACAGTGACTTTTAAGGTGAAAGCTTCAAGCATTCCAAATGAATTCTCAATGTTTCCTAACTTTTTATTGTAAAGCCACCTCCTACTCTAAAGCCAAGTACTATTTGATACCATGATTAAAAGCGAAACTACTTGGAAATTTTTTAAAGACAACTTACGGATAATGCTCATTTTCACAATCAGAGTAGCTTATAAAATATGGTTGAATTTGATACACACAGGAAAAGTTTTGTTTTAAGAACAAGTCCTTTTTGCTTTTCATTTTTCTTGAGAGAGCTAAAGAGAAATGGTAGATTGTCTTCCTGACAGCAAAAAAGTACTGTGACAAAATGAAGTCATTGTAAAGAAGTGATGCAACTTGTCAAATATTTAATAAAGAATTATGGAAGCTGGAACATTTTCTACAAGTATTATGGGTTGTCTGATTTAAAGCTTCTTCGTGAATGCATCAGCTTAATTGTTTCAGGAGTTTAAGTGCCTGCAGATTTACGGTACGTTCATTTCCTTATTCTCCTTTAAAGTTCTACACCTTTAAAGGCCTTATTAAAGTCTGCCCAAACCTCATGGCTAAAGCTTATTGGGACGCACATCTATTGTTATTCATCCATCTTTTTATTAAACTTGATAATTTCTTTACATAACACTTAAGTAATCCAATATGCATCCCCTGGGAAGGCATATTTCACCTCTAGTTTTTATCCTACTAACCCTCAATTTATGCGAGTTAATGAGACTCAGTAGTAAAGCCCAAGGTGGTTCTCAAAAGAACGATGCCATCAAAATTCAGATCTCATGTCAGTACCCTGTTAAAACTCAAGACTCAAAACTTTTTCCTTTTTCCTTAGTAAAAGCTGCCTCTTGATGGCCTTAACTGTCCCCCAGGGGACAGCCAGGAGGTAACAGCCAAGCTGAACATCATTTAGTGCTTGGTTTCTAGCAACCTATCTGTTGCAGTTAGAGGTAGAGGGCATCTTGCTGGAAAGGTGTCAGCATCATTGTGTGTTCCTGCTACCTCTCCAGCCTCACAAACGTACGAGGGAGGTATGGGCATGGAGAGTGGCCTTGCTTAGAGAAAAACAAAAAATAGAGGAATAAATGATCATTCACCAGTTACACAGTTGCTCAGTTAACAAGCAGTTAACCTGCTCTGAAGTCCATGGGTGACCTCTTCCGGTAAAGCCCCTGGTAACAGTGTTGTATCCTTAGGAAGAGTGGGCATCCAGGAATTCTGATTCCCATGAGGAATTCTCTTGAGGAGCTGCACTGAGAGGCCCCTGGTCGTCACAGAGTGCACACCCTTGTGGTGCTTCCTCACCGAGGTGAGAACCTCCTCCAAACGGTGAGTTTCTAGAGAACTTCAGCTTTGGGACCTCTCGGCAAGTGTTTATAGGACTTGAACTGGATAGGAAAACAAGTTGATCATGACCTAAGGCCCAGACGGACTCCTCCATAGGTAGATTTCAGGACCCTGTCGCTACCTGGGGGACACCCACTGGTGAGGACTAGGCAGGGTGGGAACTTTGTAGGGCTGACCTCAGACTGGACTGCAAGAAAGTAAGTTGGCCCCAGTCCCCTCCTGCCCAGCTCCCGTCCCAACCAGTGTCCCCATGTTGTCCATGTGCCTCCATCCCTTTTCCCTAGTGGGGCTCCCAAGTGGGGCCTGGCCACGTTGCCAAGCAGACTGCTAGTCACAGGTGACAGGAGACACTCTGCAGAGTGGAGGGCAACTGCCCTGTGCCTCAGGGCAGAGCGGGTGTCCCTCAGCTGGGGCCTTCTGTACTCGGTCCTTCAGGGAGAGGCCAGAAGCTGCCCTTGTGCTGCACCCTCGCCCTGGCCCACCTGCACGCAGCGTCCCACAGGAGATCGTGGCTCCTCTGTGGTCACTTACTGGGCTTGCAGCCTGAGCTGGCTGTTCTGCGTCCTGTTCATGGCCAGGTGCTGAGCAAACTTGCCATTTCCGGGGCGCCCTTGCAGCTCATGGCTGGAGTACCGCTGTCCGCTGTCCAGGCGCATTGCTCCCTGTGGGAATGGGATCAGAGTGGGGGGGTGGGAGGGGAAGGGGAACCCAGGTTCTCTCTCTGAGGGAAGGGCTAACCTGCAGACGGGTCAGCCTGGAAAGGGTGCAGGGTGTTCACCCCCTAAGTGAACAGACTGCTCAGAAGGTGCTGGGAAGTCGTACAGGAAGGGTGCATCCCAACGTGACTGCAGGAAAATTATACATTTGGGCAATTTCCAGGCAAGACCCTGCCATGGGAGCTCTACATCCAGTTCCTGGCACATGGAAATTAACCGGGTTCAGCCCTGCTTGGCCTGGCCCAGCCGAAGGAGGAGCCGAGCTAAAGAGGAGTCCACTCTGCGTGGCACCCAGGGTGGCTGTGGCCGTGCGGGCGCGGGGCTCTCACCCTTGATCGTTCCATAGGTGCCTGTGCTGTTAACCTAGAGAACCGGATTGCCCTCCCTTATTGCCCTCGGGAACTGCCCTTCCCTGCAGAGACACCAAGTGGCAATGACCCTAGGTCCTCATTCCTGGGAACTGGAGGCCCACCCGGAGGCGGCAACTGTCTGTGGGCCCAGGGTGCTTGCCTCACCCCATCGCCTCCTCTTAGTGGCTTGTCTGTGGCAGAGGGGTGCTTGTCACTGAGCCCAGGAGAGAAAGGAGGGCAGGAAGGACACAGATGGCCCATCCTGGGACAGACACACTCAGCCTGGATGCCACCCCTGGCCCAGCCAGGCCTGAAGACAGGGTCAGACCCTGCAGCTTCCCATATCAGACAAAACCTGGGTTTTCAAGGGAACCCTGAAAGCACATGAAGCTAGTCTCTCCCTAATCACACAGCAGGGAGGGAGAGAGCCCTGGCCCTCGGCCTCGGGTGGGGCAGTGGGCCTGTGGAAGGAAGGGCCAGGGCACAAAGGGGCACTGGGTGCACTCAGGCCCTGCACCCTAGGCGCCTCTCACCTACAGGCCCCTGAAGATCTGGGCAGAGACTCGATACCCTGAACAACAGAAAGAGCTTAAGTCAAGCTCAGGTCAGGCATCCTCCCGGCTGCAAACATCTGCAGCAAATCCTGTCTCTCCATAATAGGGGCCAGAGCCCACCACTCCTGGGTTCCGTTGTCTTCTTCAAAATGTCCAAAGCAACCTAACAAGATAGATATTAGTAGGCCCAATTTACATACAAGGAAACGCACTAGGAGGTTAAAAAACTGGCAGAGGGATGATCTGAACCCAGATTATCTGGCTCAAAGCCACAGTTCAACTAGAGCATTCTGCCCATCCACCATCCCCTCCACCAAACCTCCCCTCAGAAGCAAGAGCCCATAAGCTCATTTACACTATGATGTAAATGACTGATAAGATTCAACCCATGACCTCTTCCAGAAGTATTTTTATTTTAACAAACTCCAAAGGTGAAGCTTGGTTTAAGCCAAAAGGAATAAAGATTGAAACTGTGGCATGTAGGTGTATCAGCAAAAACAGTGCAGCAAAGTTTTTGAGGGCAGGGCCCTTCTTCAGGCCACAAAATCCATTGTGTTAAGGGACACCTTTCCTCAGGATCAGCCCCAGCTCCAGCCCTCACGGGAAGCCACGCCACTTCTCTGGCTGCCACAGGACAGAACTCTCATCTCAAAAGCAAGCGCCTCATATTTTCCAGATACGTTCCAGGGCAATGCAAGCATCGTTGGCATCGAAGAGTTGAAGAGCTGTAAAAGACTTAGAGCCTAAGGGCTGGATTCTCTACTCCCAGGAGCTATTTGATGGAGCTCCAGTATGTTATATATTCGAAAGAGCTTCTGTTTGATAAAGGATGTTAGATATTAACTTATATTTAATAGTATTTGTGCAGAGTTTGAGTTTCGGATCTGTCCTGCAGGTTGCACTTCTCGAGCTCTCTTACGAGACCTAAGAGCTCCTCTGCAGCAGGGTCTTCTTGCCCCTCTCACACCCTCTCCCCCAGCTGCACCCTCTCGCGTTTTCGGCAGTCTCTATTTACTTAGAAGAGCCTTGCTTGTTCATCAGTTGAGATTATCAGGAGGATGTGCCCTCTGCAATGTGATAAGTGTTTAAACAAAAGTCAGGCCTTTGAACCCCGGTCTCCAGTTAAAAAAATAACAGGCCAAAGACTGAGTCAATAGGAGACAAATATTAGCTGTGGAGGCCAGAGAACCATAACATTGGGAAATACCTATTGCCGCCTACATGGAAGGAACAATGATCATTTCACCTCAGAGGTTTGAAAACCCCAAGGACCCCACTGATGTTGGGCCAGTTGCTCTACAAGTTGAATTTGAAGCCACTGGCCCTTAAGTTCGCTTCCAGAACTCCCTTGGTCCGGATGGCTGCAGTATCCTAAAGGCTAGTCCTTTTTATTTCTCTTGCCTTCCCAGCCGTCCTACATTCCTGCTAGCTTGCCTCCACCAAAGCTCTGACCATATCACCGTGCTGTTTCCAACACTGCCTCAAGTTCCCACTGCATACTCTCCTGGGGCTCGAGGCCACCTGGGGCATTTGGCGGTAGGACAGCAGACCCCTGGGTGGTCACATCTAACAGACATTTCCCAGTCTTCATCCTCCCCTCTTCGTGTGGTGGTCAGTGTTATCCACCGTTTCTTTCAGCTCTGTCTCTGGTTTCCATGACATTTCGCTCTGCTGGTTATTCACTCCCTCTCTGACTACTACTCATTTTTCTTCCTCCCCTAAATGTAGATGTTCTCCAGTAACTTGTTTTTGCTTCTTTCTCCCTCCCTTCCTCCCTCCATCTCCTCCTCCACACATGAATGTGCCATTAAATGTTGATGAGGCCAAGGAAAGCAAGCAGAAGAAGGTTCAGGAAGTGTGGGAGTGTGAATCTAGAACAGGCAGGTCAGGGCAAAGATCTCCAGATGGTGAGTGAGCCGTGTGACTGTGTGGGGAAGAGCATTTGGGGCCAGAGGAACAGCAAATAGGCCATAAGCAGGATTGAGAAATAAGGTCAAGGTCAAGGCCCTTTTGGAATGTAATAACACTGAGTCATCTGCAGTCATCTGCAAACATCCAAGAGAAGGGGTCACAAAGAAAGTTGAAGTGCAGGGAGGGGCCGGGATGGAGTTACCAGTGTAACTGCACCAGCGTGTTGATGGCATTTAAAGCTATGAGACTGAAAAAGAGGGTCCAGGGATTGGAAGGTGAGACAGGAAAAGAGGAATGGCCAGAGGTGTGGAGGAAAACCAGGCGCCTATGGAGCACCGAGGCTGGGAATAAAGAGCCTATTTATGAAGGCAGGGAGACTGCATGTATCAAACACAGTCTCTAACTTAATGGTAGTGTGTTAATGTGTTGCAAATGCAATATGAATTCAAGCAGACACTGTACTTCAAATTTTGAATTTGTATCTTTTCCCAGGCTAGCAACATACGGGACAATCCTCTCCCTGATGCTGGGCAGGGCAGCGAGCCGCAGCTCCCAGGCAGCCATAAGATCATGAGGGTCAACACCCCCTACACTGGCCACCATTCTGCACCCAGACAACCATTCTGTACACTTTCAGTACAGTATTCAATAAATTACATGGGATAGTTGACACTTCATTATAAAATAGGCTTTGTGTTTAATGATTTTGCCCAACTGTCTGCTGATATTAAGTGTTCTGAGCATGGTAAGTTAGGCCAGGCTAAGCTGCAATGTTCGGAAGGTTAAGCATGTTAAATGCATTTTCATCGAGGATGTAACCCCATTGTAAGTCAAGGAAGTTCTGTACTGCTGGCAGGTCCACGAGATGAGGACTGAGAAGTGACCACTGGAACTGGCAGTGAAGACGGTGCTGGTGATGCCAGTGGGAGAGATTTTGGTGGAATTGTGAGGGCAAACACCTGCCTAGAGTGGGCTCGGGGGAGTGGAGGGATGGGGGAGCAGGCACAGGCTTACCAGCTCAGGGTCTGAGCCCGCATCTGCAGTCCCACCAGCCCTCCACCTTACTTGCCTCTAACTTCTGCCCAGGTTATGACAATAACCTCCTTGCTACTCCTTTCGAGTTCTTCCTCTCTCTTCCCAATCCAGTTTGCAGACAGCTACGGGTATAGCCTAGCTCTAACCATTGTGGTCCCCTGCAGAATCCTTCAAAGGCTGCTGGTGTCCACCGATGAAGATCTGACCTCCTCAGCCAGGCACTGCAGGCCATTCATGATCAGGCTCCTGACTCACTTTCCATCTGTGCCTCTCTGTTCACCCGAACAGGCCATTCCCATACACACCGCTTGCTCCCATTGTTCTGCTAGGAGTGACCTTCCCACGTGTCCAAATCTACCCAAAAGGCAGAGTCCGTCTCAGATGGCACCTCAGCCATGGAGCTCCCTGATTCCCCTACCAAATGGCATTCCTCCCCTTCTCTGAACCTACAGCCCTTTGTCCTTTCTGTCTCCTGTTGGGGTTATCTGTGTGATCGCCTCCTTCCTGCATAGCCCCGCAGCAGCCTGCAGCATAGGTCTCATCAGGCTCTCTGTACCTTCAGTGCTCAGTAAGACTGGATTCAAGGAGCTGGCCATGGGGTGAAGCTGCCAGTTACACAAGCTTGGAGGTGGTAGATTTCAGTTTTGAGGATGCTGTTTCCTGCGTCTGCTCCTGAACAGTAATCGTGCATTGGCCAGGCTGCTGAGCATCTCCCACCTCATGACCCAGTCAACTGTCTGTGAGAAAGTCAGTTGGGGTCTCTGGAGAGAATGAGAAAGAAACAAGGGCACAGTCAGCAAAGCCCCTGGAGCTGCAGAAAATGATCCACCAGGAAAATCACGCTGCTCACCCCGGGCATCTTGGCACCCGCCAACTCTCCTGGTTGCCTAAAAAGCCGCAAATGAACATGTTGCCTTTTTCGCTCTGCTTCTCATCCTCTCACGCACAATTTTCAAGCCTCATAGTATAAGCAACATTTTAGTTCTTAAGAGATGGCAATTTCCCTAGAGGCCCTCAGGCATCTCAGCCGTACTTGGTTGACTGAGCAGAGGCGCCAGCAAATGACGTCTGGCGGCTGATCAGTGGCCTCTTCTAGGTGCTGACCAAGGGTCTGGGAAAGAGGTCTTTGTGTTTGGAAACGAGGAGGTCCCGGAGGAGGTGTGCGTGCTCTGCCTCTTGGTGTGGGGGTGAGAATCTGCAAATGGGAAGGACAACGTCCACTTGGGATCATCAAGCTCAGAAACAAAAATCGACTTCCTTAGGGTCACGTGGGTTGGGGGGTGTGCAGCACCCAATATGTATGGAAACCAAAGTTGCAAAATGGTGAATGGTGATTGGCCATGACTTGACTGTCCATGAGTTTTAATTGGCCTCAGGAATTTTTTAATGGAACATTTCACCTAAAAATCAGCTTTTCCAATTTCTCTTGAAAAATTATTAGACTTGGCATCAATCCCTAGGAGCTGAATAGGGGCTTCCCTCCTTACATGAGGCACAAACTCTCCAGTTTGCCGCACTACCATCCAGTCCTTTTTGGGTCACATCTGGCCCTCTTCACTTATTATCAGCCAGGCCAATGTAAACATTTGAGTTTGCAACCTCTGCACAATGTCATAGGCAATTTGGACCAGTTGAGATTTGGGCTTGAGTTATCTAATAACCATCCCATTTCTCTTTACTTACAATGTGACTCTTCTCCCTCCCTGGAACAGCATGTCCCAAGGGCCTGGGGGCTTTAATTCCTGTCCACGGGGGGCTCAGTCCCTCAAAGCTTGTTTCTGGGTCTTCTCATCCCCTCCTCTCCTAAGAGCTCAGTTGGCTTATGAGCTGCTGAGGTATCTTTCCTGGTTCCTGCCCTGGAGTTTATTTACCAAGCCTGAGAGGGCTGGTCTGCCAGAGCATCCTGCCCTCATGAAATCATAGAGGCAGAGCTGTGTCCTGATGAAGCAGAAGGAAAAGAGGATCTCATCTCCCAGTCTTGGAAAAATTGTTTCATTAAAGATTTTCCAAGGCTCCAGAAATTCTCCTTCTTTTTCAAAACTCTGCTCAGATGGCAAGTGGAAGAATCTTAACTGTTTGAAACATAATCTGCCCGGGCTCTCCTCGCCCCAGCTTGGGGACAGCCTGCCCAATTGCAGTCCTGGTCCCAAGGAAAGGGGACCCAAGGAGCCATGGGAAATCAATCTTACAAACCCTGCCATGAATGTCAGGAAGTGGGAGGGAATGTCACAGAGAGTAAGAGTGACAGGTGCAATTTCCTCTACACAAAAGCATTCATTCATTCAAGAAATACCAATTGATCCTTACTCGCACCAAGTATGGTGCTAGATGCTGAGGTTGCAAATGAAAATCAGGGTGTTTGCCCTTAGGATTTTCATTTAGTGGCAAGGCAGAGAAGAAAGCCAGTAATCAGACCAAAATGTGCTACAGACACACAATCCTAAACTCTTGGGGCCAGACATATTTAGTATGCAGATTTTTAGGTAACACGGCCATTAGAGTCTGGCAGCATGCTATCATCAGGCGCATTAATATTTCCACAGTCAGCATGAGTATCCACACGGAGTGGAATAAATAAAAACTATAAATAGCCTCAGGTCAGTTCAGGTCAGGTATTTGTGATCAGATGAGGGTTTTGCCCCCAGTGAGATTGCTTCCCATTTATAAAAACTGAATTTTGCAAAGCAGATAATGGCGTGTGCCCCCACCAGAAGTCCAGGTCTGTCAAAAAGTGAGGTATATTGGAGGAGATACTGCTCAAGCTGCAACTTGAAAAATCAGCTGGTCAAGAAGAGGGAGAACTTTCCAGCACATCCCAGACAAAACATCTGCAACCACTGAAGCAGCTCACAGGGCAATCGGGGCCAATCCCGAGAGAAGCAGGGTCCTGCTCCCTGGGTGGGAGCTGCAGATGCAGCCAGGGACCAGGCAGTGCTGGCCACCTGTGTCTGAGTCACTCAGGGACACCTGATCAAAACCAAGAATCCCAGGCCCTCATCCAAAGCCGCACAGGAAATGGAGCTCTGCAAACTCCACTGAGTTCTGCAATGAGCTCTGCAAACTCGGTAGAATTCTCCAGGAGATTCTTACTCACACTGACTTTTGAGAGCCCTTAATTTATTTGAAACACCCCAATTCTAAGCTGTCTTAGAAATGTGAACCCATTTAAGCCCCCTAATAATCTAGGTGTATTATTTTTCCCTTTTTCAGAATTTTAAAATTGAAATACAATTTACATACAATATCCATTCCAGATGAACAATTTAGTGACTCATCAATGGTAAACATCATTAATTGCTCACCGTGATAAGTGTAGTTACCGTCTGTCACCATACACAGGTGCATTATTATTCCCATTTTTCAGATGGGGAAATCAAGGTACAGAGAGGACTAAAACTCGCCTAAGGTCATGGAGCTTAAAGAGATACAATAGGTGGTCTGGTTTCAGAGTCTCTGCTGCCTTTGCCTTGATTAGGCATCTGTCCCAAGCTAGAGCTTCCTCCCGCTGCAGCCACAGAAACCTGGGGCTTTGGCAGCCTGCAGTGCTGCAGAGGCCTCTGAGCGTGCACAGCGTGCACAGCACGCCCTGTGCCCCACCCATGGGGGCAGGACCATGCACAGGTCTCAGGGAAGGTGGGGAGCCATAGTCTTTCACCTCTAGGGGCTAGAAGCCACCGGGAGAAGTTGACCAGTTTGTGATATGCCTTTGGCCTTGGGATTCAAAGCCCACGTTGCCCTACTTTTTATCTGAGTTACTGATCCCTGTTTCAATAGCTTCTGTTTGAGGAGATGGAGCCAGAAAGCTGCAGCAGGGGATTGGAGCCGGCTGACCCCATGGTCAAGCCTGGAGAGCAGTTTGCCCTCTTCTTGTGTAAATTCCAAAAGGCAGCATTTGGAAATAAAGTCAACAGAGAGCTTTTTTTCATCTTCACATAAACAGCCATTCAGCAGTGTTTGGAGAGAGTTGGGCAATGCTGAAAGGAGTTGGGCCAGGGGAAAAGTCAACTTTGATTTTAGGTCTCTGCAGCCGGCTTGAATTTCCATGTTTCCATCAGCTTTCCCTACAGCTCATATCAAAAAGAAATGCTCCAGGCTTGGGTGCCCCTCCCCATCCTCCTCCACCCACCATGAATTACCATGGGCATCGGAGGATGTTCTGGAAACTTCTGCCCTCTCCCCTTACACTGGGTATCTGTCATCACTGTGCAAACTGTCACCAAGCAACCTCTTTTTTGATGGCCCCAGGGTTCTTGTTCAAGGAGGACTGCTCTTCAGCTTAAGCCAATTCATAGAGGGCTGGAGTCACACATGCAGCGAGAAAAATGGCCAAATGCCACAGGTAGGCATGGCAACCATCTACTCTGAGAACTTTAAAAATAGAGAGGGAACATTCGGAATTACTTGTGCCAAACCCCTTGCTTTACAGATGAGAAAACTAAGGCTCAGACTGGAGAGGTTTTTTTGTCCAAAGTACCAGTGAGCAAATGGTGGCAAAAAATCAGAATGCACTCACCCAAACCCCAGTTGGTTGGATTTTTCCCACCATATGACTTGGCCTCTTATCATTTGTCTTCAAAACTTTCTGGTTCCCATTCTCAATCATCCATTCAGCCTTTTATTTATTCTCTCTGGGGTATTTTCTGTGAGCCAAGTGATGAGGTAAAGTCTGGGGACAAACCAGTAATGAGATCCGTCCCTCCTTTAAGGGGGTCCTTCACGGTGTCCCCCTCCCTTTTCCCTTCAGAATGGCGTTGGGTGTGCTGTACCCCTAACCAATTAAAAGAGAACTTCTGGGGCTGAGGTCTAGACATGGGTCGTTTAAAAATCTCCCCAAGTGCACTGAATTATGCAGCCAAAATTGAGACGCACACCTTGAGAGCAGGGCTTTGGGGAAGTCACGGACCCCATCTCCACCTGATGAGGCTCCTCGGACCCCTCTCCTGGCTGCAGAGGGAGGAGCGTGGAGGCGCCTGAGCACTGTCACAACTGTCCCCCTCCCTCCCCTGCCTATTTTCGGAGGCCAGTGCGTCTTCCCAGCAAAGCCTCCAGATAAAACAAAACAAAAAACAACTTCCTGCCATAAACAGCACTGAAGGAAAAGAAACAAACAGGCTGGGAAAGTAGCTGGAATTTGAAACTTTTGTGCACAGAGCAGATACAGCAGGGCCAGTTCACAGAAGCTGCTTCTCCCTTAGAGACCCAGTCAAGAGCTCACAATGGGCCAGCCAGCCACTGTTCTGTTAAATTGATCTGGCAAATGTATGATGCGCTGTCAAAAAGCACCAGGAAGCTTCATGCAAAATTTCAAAGAGGGTTCACTAGAGCCAAAGGTACAAAATAAATTAGTGAAGGAATGGGGTTCTGGAAAGATCCTTGCTCTCCCCCGAATGCAATCTGTCACTCCAAATGACTCAGACACCGACAAGAAAGACTAAAAATATTCAAGAACGACATTTGCATCTATTAAATAGTCATTTTGTCGTACACAGCTGGAAATTGGGTTTTTTCTAAAGGTTACCAGGAATTTTCTGCCTCTGCTGCTGGATATTTGTGGCTTCAAAGTGAACTCAAGTGCGAGGAGTGCTCACAAGGGCTCAGTGGGCCTCAGAACTGTGTCAAGTCCTTTGTTGGTTTATTAGCATCAGGAAGGTTCTAGTATTTTGACAACAGAGGGAAAGTGGAACCTGCCCTTGATCCTCCCCAGGGAGGGGACCGTGTGCCCCAGATGGCCAGGTATCCTGCTGTCAGAGCCCTGAGAGAG